AGCAGATTCAGCATCACTTATTTTCTAATTATATCTTTTAGTTTGTCCTATCATAGTTTATCCTGCGAAGTGTGCTTCCGCTACAAACATGGAAGCCCTTTTTTAGATTGAAATTCTGCAACACCGTAACCAAGTTCAGCCAATGACATTATGCCTTTGTGCTCCTAAGAAATAATATTTGTGTCCCAGTGTGTGATTTCAAATTGCTTCATGGTGTTGCGGAGGCGTGAGAGGAAGGGCGTGTAATCACACAGTGGGGGCTTCACAAACACACACACACACACCCAGACATGCATGCACACACACACAGCTCTGTTCTGTCTTGCGAGCTCCGAGGTGATGCATTGCCATTGTCTCCCCCCATTACCCCTCTATTACTGCCTTCGATAGCATCAGTGAAGAGATGACCATTCCACCTCAGTGTGTTACATATTGCACATGATGTGTAACAGGGGCGTAAATAGTGTGGCTATAATTTACTTCACTTGACACTCAGCACTGTCTGCAGGACATGTCACAGAGAATCACCGCAAAGTCACAGTATTACATTTTCTTTAGTAAAGTTGTTTGTTTTTAGAACACTCCTCTCTAAATTGTGATGTCAAATTTTTTTATCTGCCATCATGAGATGAGATGAGATGAGATGAGATGAGATTCAACTTTATTGTCATTACACATATACAAGTATAGAGTAACGAAATGAGGTTTGGCATCTCACCAGAAGTGCAAATAAGCAGAAAGTGCAAGAGTCTGTGCTATGTACAGTAATTACAAAATTTACAGTTGTAGACTAAAAAAAGTGAATTATTAGGTATATATGGATGGCTGGATTAATGGGACGCTATAAATATAAATAAATGCTATAAATATAAGTGTAATATAGTCAGTGATTTGTTTTATTACTAAAATTGGCATCTTCACAGACTTTGTGAAGTTGTAGAAATAAGACACCATTCCCAATCTAAAGTTACCTCAGAGGATATTAGAGTTAAGATTGCATATGTTTTGATAACGGTCTCTTCTGCTACGTTTTATTGTTCTAAGCACAATCAACCTGTGTTCTCCTGTTGTTTCCTCACTTGCAGTAGTGTGTGCACTTTGAACTGTTGGCTCCACCAAACAGCAAGTACAAACATGCTTCAAAACCCACTTGTCACGATACCACATAGATACAGTACTACGTTTTACTTGTCAAACTCTATTAAAAATGAGCATCGGCTTTTATTTCAGAACAGCCTGTTATACTGAAAATGTTATACACAACAAACTTTAGCTCATATCAGCTAATGCACAAATGGAACAATACCACACAGAAGGGGCCACATGTCTTTCAGTAGCCTACCTAATGTAAGCCTGTTGCTCTACCAAAGTCTACATTTGAACTGCCTTGGTTTATTACAATGTGAAGATCTGATAAAAAAAAAAGAAATGAGGTGTTGTCACAGTGCCCTACATTCCAGTGTCTTATCTTCAAACCACCTTTGGAGTTGCCTGTTTTCAGTGAAATAACAGATGGAAGCCCCTGTTGACCCTACAATATTTTGATGTGTTTGGGATCCTTTTCAGTCAGCAGGTGTTTGACATGTGTTTACAGTGTTTTCCCTGAGCAGTCGAGCGAGAAAGATGAGATGAAGAAGAGGAAAAGAAAAGTAGGGAAAGAGAATAGAGGTCGGTAGCTAATTACTATTCAGCCTGTGGGGTAGAAGGAGAAAGTAGTCTTGCTGCAATTCAAGTAATCCGAGGCCAGCGAGAGTGAGAGTGTATGAGGAGGCAGGGCTTTGATGTATCCGTTGCCAGCTTGTGAGAATAAAACACACACCTTTTGAAATTAAGGAGGTGAGCTTGTGCAGCTTTGTGTCGAGAACTGGCCAGCGTAATGGTTTGATGGTTACCACCTCCATTTCATCAGACATGACTGGGTCACTGTGAGAAAGTGGATTAATTGTGAGGGTAAGCCTCAGCAGAGCTGTATCCTGCCTCTTAAACAGATATCTTTGAATGTTTAAACTGTAAACACCTCTGGAAGGGCTTGGACTGTCTTGCACCATGCCCAACTGTTTATAGTCAGAGGGCAGAACAAACACCTAGCTGCAGGAGTGTCACCCACCAGAGGGAGGGGTTACTTCCCTTTGTGACATCACAAAGGGAAAATCTCCAAACGTCCTGTTTGAACACTTATTTTCTCAGAAGTAGAGCAGGCTAAAGAGGAAGAGGATGGACTTTTATCATAATTGGGGGTTTGTGGACAGGCTAGGGACACATATTAGTGTTAGAAAACTATGTTAAAGTGTATTGTAAGTGTACCTTTAAGGTTTTTGGCGAATAACAGTGAACATGGTAATATAGTAAAAAAAAAAAAGGGTTGACAGTAGAAGCCTACTACTATAAGAGTGGAAATGTAAAAGAAATTCACATATGTATTTGTATAGGAATATGCAATGTGATAGTTTCGACTTTTTCAAATATAGCTTTTAACTATTCAGCTTCCACTGCTGACCGTTGAGTCTGTTGATTTAAGTATGAGAAAACCTAAACAGATGAGTTTAAAATCATCCAGATGGAAGAGTGATTACTTGGACTTTCATTTAATGCCACGCCAGCCCCTCCCCCACAGCTGACTCCATTCCTCTCATGCAATTGCTCCCTCTCTGTGTTTTCTGCAGAGAAACAGCCTGTTCACATGAGCTAAAAATAAATCATGTGACTGAGCCAGGCCAACTGTACCGTTCATGCATTACTTATGGACGTGTTTGCCTTTCTTCCATTTTTTTTCTCCGTAGCAGAAAGAAAAATAGAGCTCTCCCACGGAGTTGATATTGTGTTCGAGTGAGCTCTCAGGGGATGTCCTCTGAACGTGAGCTCTATCATTTTAGTTAGCTATTGATGTTAACTTGTCAACCCTACTGTGGTGATTGTGCATTTTGATGAATACAGCTGGTTTGTTATAGCTTGTCATTGAACTGTGATGTATGCAAAGATGTTTAGGTTTAAATGTAGCTGTTTGATCAGTACAAATGTAGAGTTGGATCTGTGCATTGAGTATGGAGATGATACTCCTGCATTATCAGAGTAATGATTCAACATTGATTTTGAAATATTAGAGATTGAGACTTTGGGTTTATCCTGGTTAAGTAGTTGTACATGGGCCAAAAACTGTAAACACACTACAGCAGCCCAAAACAAAATAAATCTCTGCAAAATGGTGTTCTTAAAATGTACCAGAGGAACAGTGATAATCAGACATTATTAGAGTCTATCCAGGCCTCTCCAAGATATACAACAAACAGGTTTGTTTGTTTGGACTAAGCATTGTTATACGTGCAGAGAATCTCAGAGAAAGTTACTGCACCTTTCAGCAATTGTTCTTTGGCAGTTGCTGCATGTTTGCCTTTTAAGTGATGAATTCATTGAATAATGACATTGTTCATCTCACAAATCTTATTTCAACGAGTCATAGTTTTTAAAATCATAACCATTCATAGTACTAACAGGGGTATTGACTTAGTTTGAATGTATTGCTGAGATCCGGGAACATGGCAGAGCTAAAAGGAGGTTTAACACAGTCAGTAATCTGAAAGGTTTTATGTATAAAGTGGTTTAAAATATAAACTGTTGAGGTTAAAGATTCAATCTTGGCCTGGGAAACAGAAGTTTGTATAACCTTCTGTTTGTATAACAGAAGGCATATAACGCACAGCGCACACACACACACACACACACACACACACACACACACACACACACACACACACACACACACACACACACACACACACACACACACACACACACACTAACATTAACAAACCTATCCAAACACTGGCAACTGTCTGTCCTGTGCATACTTACATTTACTACACAGACTTTGACGAATCCTTTTACTTTTCTGTATATATTTTATTTTCAGTATCCCACTTTATTTCCTGATGTAAGTCTGTGTGATTAGAAAAAACAGATAACCAGTCACACAGAGGTTAGAAAGGGACTTATTGAATGAATCACCACAGTTTGACCACAGTAACTAGAATAACAAATGCAGTTTTTCCTGATTGATTTTTAATAAATGTCTGAAAATCAGGCTGCTTTTTCCCACAGAGAAAGTTGTGTGAGGAAGTCAGTGCGTTGCTTGAGGGCCAGCAGGGAGCTTCGTCAGCCTGTGTTGTGTCTGGTGGAATAGAGGGAGATGCAGATGGGCTTTCGGCACGGGGATAGGAGGTTTTTCAAAGGATCATTTTGCTGTTCCACCACTTGTGACTCAAGACTCCTTTCTTATGTGCTCTGGATGCACGGTCACTCACCTTTGCCATCCCTCCCTCTCTTTATCTTTCTCATTTTCATGCATCTGTGTTTCTCTCCGCAGCTCTCTGAATCATCTCTGAAATCTCTCACCCACGCTTCCTTATGTTTCCAAATTTAGTCCTGTTAGTTATGTTTTTTCCTTCGTGTCATCTCGAAGCTGGAACTGAGCCACATCTTCCACGCCCTCAGTCATCTCTGGAGATTACTGCAGCACTGTGTGCATCCATCTGTGTCCCTATCGTCTCCTTTTACTTGCCTCTATCTTCTCCTTTGCTCTTTCATCCTTTAGTGTTGGAAGAATGGGAAAGACCCCAAACACACATGGTTCAGAAATGCACAATCCATTACTAAACAATCTAGAGTTGACACCGTCTTGTTACTGTGTCCACTTTGACCAGAACATCAGAGTCATTTAGGTGGGGTGGAAAATGGCCTAGCGGTAAGATTGCTGTCCATGTGCAGAGGCTGGAGTTTTCCAAGCAGCCAGCCCGGGTTCGAGTCGGATCCTTGGTACCTTTCCCCCATTTCCCACTCTAGTCCCTCTCTCTTCTTATAAAGGGACAAAAGCCGAACATACTTTTTAAAAAGAGTCATTTAGATGGGTGTTTTGCCACTTGAGGAAAATGTTTGCTGTTTAATTACGTTATCTGTTATCATGCTTGGATTTTGATTGAAGTCCCTCATTCCTTTATCTCTTCCAGGTGATATTACACAGAAGGGCTATGAGAAGAAAAGGACCAAACTTCTGGCTCCTTACATCAACCATACTCCAGGTAATGATCCATCATTCCTTTTATTGAACAACACAAACACAAGGGCATATCCCCTGACTCGCAGAACATAATCTTTGTTTCATGAAAATATGATTTGGATTGATTTTCTGTCTTATAAACAGTGACCGCCTTTCTTTCACTTTCACAGATGTTTTATACATTTTATTTCCACATGTTCTTGTATTGTGGTTTATTTCCCAAAATGTTGATAACATAACTGCATTGTAGCATAACTGAGTAGTAAAAAAAAAAGTGATGTCAAATGCATCAAAAGTTTTTTTCTGTAGATGCAACTTGCTTGAAAATTCCCAACACTGCCTCCTAGTGGCACCATCTTTGTGCTAATTTCCATTTGTCCCACTGACGGTGGAGAACAGATTGTAAATTGTAAGCTGTAGGCCTATAGAAAAAAAAGTATTTAACAGAAAGTGATTCAGCTTGTGGAGAAATGGATAGCTGATCAACCAAGAGTTAGTGAAAGTTATTAAAAACATTTTGATGGTGTGAAAATGTTTCCTGTTACTCATTGTGTGACACTGAATGTAAATCTGACAATGTCATTGGGAAGAATTTCACTTGTCCACAATAGCTGTTGATGTTTGATATTTGTTTATATTACTCTTAGCTGACAGGAGGGTACATGTTGGCCTGTTAAATATGAAGTAGGCTAAATATGATTTTATTTGTTATTGTTCTGATATTTCGCACATGTTATCATAATAGTCAACTTTCATCTTCTCTCTGAAAAAGAGGTTAATATGTTGACAAGATAATAAACACGACTTCGATTTTTAAAATTCAATTTCTGAATGCATGTTTGTCGTGTTTATTTGACAGTGGAGCCGCCCCGTCAGAATGACGTGCTGCCTCCCGCTCCCAGTTCCTCTTCCAGCCACGCCCCTCCCCCCTCCAGCTCATCCCGTTACCGGGAACGCCGCTCACGCAGGACACATCGGGGCGGAGGAACCAGGGATGACCGCTACAGATCAGGTAAGAAGAACTCCAAAACAGAAAAACAAAGAAAACCGTATCAGGGAAAGATACTGCATTCACCTTTAATGGACTAATCACTCAGTTTCATCTTCTATCTCTGCAGCTCATTCATTAGCTTACATGAGTTTCACTTGTTAAGCTCCAACACTGAGCTGTTTCAAAGGGACCAATTAAGTAAAAGTGTGTGTGTGTGTTTGTGTGTGTGGGGTGCTGAGACAGACGACTGTGCAGTCTTGCAGCTGGGGAGCCCCTCAGTGAGGACCCCTGCTCTGTGAAAGCAGAGTGATGTCACTGACTGGCTATGTGTGAGGAGAACAGGGGCAACAGTGATGTGGAGGGAAAAGCCTAATGCAGGCGAGCATAAAAAAAAAAGAAAACAGAGCAGTAGAGGAGGAAAAGTGCAGAGCATGTGCGGAGGGAGTCATACTGTCTCTTCGTGAACGTCTTTTCAAAATTCTTGCCCCTCATATGAAACACCCTCACCCTCCAGCATGCTAAATATCAGGCTGACTCATGTAAAGTCAGGCATTTTGGCTGGAGTTTGCTAGAATGCACATCATTATCATAGAAAATCTGTCTGGAAACAGAATATTTTCATCAGATTGAAGGATGATTCAGAAGGAGATTGAGGAGGAGGATTCAACACAGAGAGGATTAGAGCTGTAAAAATAGAGTCAAGGCAAAATTGAGATTGAGAAATACAAAGGAAATGAATGTAAATGAAATGGACTGAGGGAAAGTAGCCCTTAATTGTCTTCTGGTTTTAACAAGGAAGTGCAGAAAAGAAGTTCTGTATTCAATGATGAGTGTGCAGCCTATTTTATTCTGTTAAACATACGTGAGGATGTAGCTAATATGTGTCTGATATTCTCCCTCTTCTCTGATATTATTCTAAATACCATGAATACTTACAGGACTGTATGTCAGTCTAAGCAGGATGATGAGATTTCATTTCAGACACACAGAATTGTCTTACTTCTGACATTCTCCATGTTAAAACTGAGCAGGGTGTACCAAACAAATTGACTAATAAGTATCAGACACCCAAATAATATCAGGAAGTGAATATAGTATTTTAGGTAAACAACCACTAGCTGAATTTAGACACATGAAGGGCAACGACACTAAATGTTGTGCTAACCCTAAAAATGCTACAGTGCTAACTCTGACAATGCTAACTGCATGTGTTATGCAGATAAAATGTTTACCTCGTTTGAAATAAGCTTTGCTGAGCTCAAAGACTGTAGGTGAAGTGTTTTAGCATGCTAACATTTGTTTATAAGCACTAAACAAAAACTCCTGAGTGATGGCAGCGTCTTTACAGTCGCAGCTAATGAATCATAAACTGAAGAATATGACGTGTCGTTGCTAATGAAGGCACTGGAGCGAGGACCTTGGATCACCATAAACTAAAAGATTCTTCTTCTTTGATTCATATATAATAGTATATATATATTGTAATATAATAGTTGAAGAGATATTTCAGTCATGAGCGAGAAACAGACAGTGACATCCCTAGAGCGTCTGGCACTGCTTAAAAACAGATAGTTGAGTTTGAAAATAAAAATAGAGGCACTGCATTGACAAATAATTGATTAATAGAAAAACAAATATAAAACACAGCAGCAATGAGACCAGAAGCATTTTAAGTGATCATTCATGCGCTGCAGAAAAAGCAGAGAACAACCTCAATGTAATGCTTCCATCTCCTCTCGCTTCACGTAATCATTACTTCCGTTAAACATCTTTGTGTGTACCGCTTTCACCAGAACACAAGAGTGGACTGTTTTCTCATCAGGCTGCTGTCTCTTTAGGAACACATGCACAGGGTTCTTTGTAAATTATTCCTCTGCTTCAGATTTGTAATGCTAAACCAAGTGGTGTGTATGAAGGATTATACTGTATTAAAGTCTTTAGCTGTCCGTACACATCAATGCTAATTTAAGCCGGTGTAAATCACACCGCTAACCTCCACACACCCCAGCGTGCTTATCGCCACAGAGACAGCCCTCATCCTCCTAGACATGTGTAAGGAGTCATCCTCTCCTGACGCTCCTGTGTGAGGGTGGACATTGGCACACTATGAGAGAAGATGATTTAGCTGAGAGCAGTCTGTTCAACAAAATGTCAGTTATGTAATAATGGTCCCCGCTGCTGCGTCTGCTGCTGCTGCGTCTGCTGCTGCTGTGTAATGAGCCGTGCTGATGATTTTAATAAACGTGTTAATGTTTGAACGGAAATTGTGTCCCCTGACTTTACGGATGTGATTTGTCAGCGAGTGGGCTTTTTGTTGCTCATGTTTTCTTTGTAGGACTGAATGTGTGGCTGTTATCGTGGTCCTTTGAATTGCATCTGTGGGTGTCATCAAGTGAAAGTGTCTCTGCATGTATTACCATGTGCATGTGTGTAGGCAACTGTGTGGGCTAACACACAACTCGGCTCTCTCCTTCCGTCATGGATTTCTGTGTCCGTGGGAATACACAGTCATTTTCTTTTGATTCTCTCCTGACTTCTTTATTATTTTTTTAACATCCTTCTGTCCTTAAAAGCCTCACAGAAACAAAATCTAAAGAGTTGCTATTAAGAACGAGTGACACAAATGAAGCAGTTACTAAACTTATAATTTACGGAGAAGAGATTTGTCCTCTCATCTTTCATACACATGCAGCCTGCAAAGTAAAATCTATTTTCATCTTTCATTGTTTCACTTTTTTAAAAAGAGCAATTTAATGTATTTCTTTGTTTGTTATATGTATTTTCTGTTCATCTAATCTTCCAAACCTTTCAAAGTAAACCTGCTCTGTGTAAAGGTGCACCAGAATTTAAAAAGAACATTTATGTAGTTCACCTCACTACATTTCACTTAACACCTCTTACCACTTTTGGATAACAGTAACTTAATAGGAACCTTTTTTTTTTACCTGCCTTTTTACTTGACGACAACAAATACATTTAAGTATGAGAAGGAAATGCTGTTAACTCTGGAAAAATAAACTGTAAAGGAGGAATAAAACCTATACCTGTATAAAGACCTACATATATGAGTTGTAATATGAGTATTATTGCATTCTCTGTTTGAATCAGATCCAAAGCTGCCACGCTTAACTCCAAGTGTCTTCTTCTGTTCATCCAGATATTCACACTGAAGCAGTGCAGGCCGCTCTGGCTAAGCATAAGGAGGAGAAGATGGCCCTCCCCATGCCTACCAAGCGACGCTCCACCTATGTTCAGTCTCCCATCGAAACCCGCACACCACCAGGTAAGATGTAAAGGAAATCAATCCTGCTTCTCTGTTGTAAACTTAAACCGACATGTAGACTGGTAGAAAAGCTCTTCCTTTTTCTCTGTTGTTCAGACTCTTCATCAGGTTCTGAAGACGAGTCCGCTGTACGCAGGCAGTCATCAGTGGTCGCTCCTCCACCTGTGGTCCATCCTAACCTACAAAGTCCAGACGCTTGGATCAACCGCACCGTCCAGGGCTCCTCCACCTCTTCCTCAGCCTCCTCCACCCTATCCCATGAGAGGGAGGCCAAGCCGCAGCATAAGAGCCAGGCCCAGCCCCAGCCACAGTACAAACCTCAGTACCAGCCTATGTTTCAGCCTCACCATCAGCCACAGCCCCAGCCCCAGCCCCAGCCCCAGCCCCAGCCCCAGTACAAACCACACGAACAGCCGCGCACTGCAGCGCTGACTGACATGATGGCTAACAGTCGTATTGGTGAGCCACTCCAATGATTTTTAACAGACTTTTTTAAGTACTTATGGACACCACTGACAGTTGTCATTTAGAAGAACATATGAGAACTTTTTAAGTGTTATTTCATTTTCCAACGTTAATAACTTCTCCCATGAAGCTGGTGTTAAAGGTGCACTATGTAGTTTTAGTAGAGAAATTTGAAAGTTAGAGAAGTGTACAGATTCTGTGGTATATGTCCATAACTCTATACACAAACTGTCCTCAGAGGAAAATTAGGTCCCTGTAACACTGTCTGAAGATAGAAATGATACATGAGAAGTAACGGTGGGGGGGTCTGCAATAGTGAAACCGTCACTCTCCTGGTAGCATTTAAGCTCTAAACAGTGTTCTATGCACCCATTTTTTCTTTGAGTAAAGTTTGTTTATTCAGGTCAGAAAATTTCACCACCAAAACTCCATAGTGGGTCTTTAAAGAGGACATATAATACCCATTTTCCACCTTTTCAAACAGTCCCCTGTGGTCTAAATGAAACATCTGTGCTGTGCTTAGGTCAAAATATAACATGAATCAAGCACCAGAGGAAGTTTGTGACCCTGTATGAACCAGCTCTCCCATAACACTTCATTTTGGTGTGTGTGTCTTTAAATACAATGACCCCCCACAAAGCTTGCTTATATGCTGTGTCTGATATTGTTATTGCTAAGCTATATAAAGCATCAGTGTTAAGAAGGGTTCAAAGTTGAGGTACTACCACCATGGGGCATCGGGTCAGGATGCAGGAATCCAACAAGACTTGAGTTTAGGTAACAGGTTTATTTCTTCAAATTAGGTAAATCATGAGGGTAACAGAAGACACACATGGGATTGAACATCAATGCATTGCTGAACTGCCGCCCCATGTGAGGATGAAAACATGAGTGCAAGGGAGTCCACTCTTGAATAAGGAGTAGGCAGGTGAATTCAATCTTATTAATTAGTGACAGAGTGCAAACAACAACCAATCAAGGGGGAGAGAGTGAGAAACCAGGAAGTGAGGAAGTGAAAGGAAACAAATAGTGATCTTTACTACAATCAGTGTGTTCAGACTGTCATCCCTTACTCCCCCTGCAGCTCCCTCAGAGAACCACGCCCCGCCTCCAGATGTAACGACTATAGCCCCTGCATCCCGGGGTCCACGGGTGGACCTGCCCTCCAATGTGGCGGTCCGAGGGATGAGCCGGGGGCAGAGCCGCTCAAGCATGATGGAGACCGCAGACGGTAACAACTACATCATGATACATAGATCTGATAGCTTTTAAATGTGTTTGTGTGTCTCCGTGGGGAGCTGACTTCATTCACAGATCTTTTCTCTTTACAAAAAAAAAAGTCCACTTCCAACCATGACATTTCATTAATCAGACTTTACTGCTTTCTTTTCTTCTTGACCTTTCTCTGACACATTTTGATTTGACTGGCTGATAGGAAGAGGTAATTTCCAGAGTAAGGAAACTCCTTCATTTATTATGTCCCTGAGCCTTCCGTGCTTGCTGTTGTTCCCTTATTCTCCCTCCTGTTTGTTATGTATGATTAAAGAAGTAAATGCAACCAAAACGTCCACACACAGAATGAGTCCTCACGTGTGATCCCAAACCAACAAAAACAACATTGACCCCAGTTCTCACTGTGTTTTCCTCGTGTTGTTTCCACCTACCTATGCTGCTTTTCACTCTCAAAAGATATCCCAATCGGTTGTAAACTTAGCTTCAAATACGTTTTCTTGTGTTTTGGGATGGAGAGCAGCATGGTCAGAAAATGGGCAGAAGTTTTAGCATTTTGCGTTTTGACACTATATGTACGATGCATGGTGAGTGTGACAGTATGTTTGTCCTGCCACCGCCTCTCTCCACCTTCATTCTACGTGTAGGAGTTCCTGTGAACAGCAGAGTGTCCACAAAGATTCAGCAGCTGCTCAACACCCTGAAGAGGCCAAAGAGGCCGCCACTCAGCGAGTTCTTCACTGACGACTCTGAGGAGATCGTAGAAGGTAGGCAGCTAAATGAAACAGTTCAACCCTACTTCATGAACCTTCCCTTAAACGACACTGAAACAGCTGGAGGTTTTTATTTGACTTTTTTTTAATTTTTGTAAACCACATGAACTAATACAGTTTAGGCTGAGTGTGCATGCTTATGCATTTTATAGCTGATTAGATGACCCCAGCACATTTAAATGTTTAATATGCTATTTGTACATTACATTATTAAATCAAACAACAACAAAAAAGGATAATATGTGTTTTTTATGTCACACTGCTACGGAGCCCCAGAAGTCCCAAAAAGTAAAAAATATGTCTTTGGCTCACAAGATGTATATTTTACTTTCTTGGACTTCAGGGGCCATGTACACTGCGGTTGTTGTTTTTTATTATCTAAAATTATTGTTAAATTTCTGATAATCATTTTAGGTTTAACTCAAGGAGTGCCATGGCTATGTCATTGTATTGTTGTCTTGTACAGCCACTGTAATGAGAATAAAGCTTTATATAAGATTCGTCATTTATAAAGTGATTACACAGTGTAATAGTTTTATGGATGTTAGTGAATATATAGATGTTTAATATACAACCTGATAAGAAGTAGTATTTGTGACACATATTTTTTAAAGTTGCAGCGGTTTACAGACAAAGGTGTCTCTCTTTTCTCATGCGGAAAGGCTCGTGTTCCTCAGTAACTCATTTAAGATATTCAGGCAATCAAAAGAGCAGAGACGAAGACACAGGAAAGGGAAAGGCAACCCACAGTTGACACCAGTGAATTCGGTTATACACCTGACAGTGTTCTGTTGTGTGTCTGTCTCTCACAGTGCCCACGCCGGACCCCAACACACCAAAGCCCGAGGGCCGTCAGATCATCCCTGTCAAAGGAGAGCCTTTAGGAGTTGTCAGTAACTGGCCACCAGCTCTGCAGGCAGCGCTGGCACGTTGGGGGGCCACTCAGGGGAAGAGCCCCGCCCTCACTGCTCTTGACATCACAGGCAAACCGCTCTACACCCTGACGTATGGTGAGATACTAGACTGTTGATATTCATGCATTAACTGTGGAATCGGAAGCAGTCAAATACGCCTGCTGGGAGTTGTAACTGAAAGTTGGTTTGTCATGTTTAGAGTTAAGTTTTAAGTTCAAGAGTTCATCTGGATAGTAGACTTGTGCTTGCACTGTGTTACATGAGGCTTTTCTGGCAGTAATCAGACATATAACCCACTCTCCTACACCCTCCTCCCACCTCCACCTTCTGTCTGTCAGGGAAGCTGTGGAGTCGCAGCGTGAAGCTGGCGTACACACTCCTGAACAAGCTAGGCGCCAAGAATGAGCAAATCCTCAAACCTGGAGACCGGGTGAGAGAGCTGGCACACAAATACACTAACAACAACAATCTGTATGTATCATGTGATGTCATCCTGTGGAGGAAAACCTGTGCATTTTCCAACCTCCACCCCTTTGATGTGCCTTTGTGCAAAGCACCTGATTCCAAAGCAGTTCCATTTGATATTGAGTATAACTAGAGAAGAAAAAAATATCACAACATTTTCAGCTGTGTCAGCGACATCAGAATATGTGTTTCGCTCTTTGGTTAAGACTGTGTCAGCAACTCGAATAAATTGAAAGTGACAGAACTAGAAACATTCCTGTCATCCTCAGTTGTACTTTCTGTTCAGTTGCAATTACATGTTACACTTACATGGGCAGCACATGTAAGCATGCTACTATGGGAAACTTGAAACACATGGCAATATACCATAGACTGTATGAACATGGACTTAGCCTCGGTAACATCATCCCTTGGTTTCTGAAAAGGTGTTGTAGGCCCAAAGATGGCAGTCACCGTATTGGAAATGCTGACCCCAACTAACTTCCAGCCAATCGAGAAGCAGACAAAGAGGCGGAGTTGTGACGGGCTGAATGAATATTTTGGTTGATGAAACACGCCCATCTAGCTCATCATCTAGCTAGCATATTCCAAACGATGAAACAACCCGAACAAAACCAACAGTTTAAGGTCAGTAATGGGATTTAGCTAAACTGAAGCCCAGCCTCCTGGAAAACAGGTACAATGCGCCGGCCTGTCAGTCAAATCATTTACGCCCATTATCATGCCTGATTATGCCTAACTCATAGCCTTAATTTAATGAGAATGGAGCCTTAATTTAATGAGCTCTAGAAAAAGTCCATATTTATCCAGGCTGTTAACCTGATTTGTCCGTAAAAATGGGCATTTTAAAAGGACTCTCATGGGATTTTAGCAAGCTTCAAGTGGACATTCGAGTAAAAGCCAATTTTTTGCACTTTTGCATCAGCTTTATTTTCACAACGGAGGTTGCTGCTTATATAAAATATCTTAACACATTAGCAGCTTTGTTGTAAATAATGGCATGCTAATCTTCAGGCATTCAGCTCTAAAGTCCTCGATGTCTTGGTGGTGCTGCACAGGGCCACTACACTAGTACTCTCGTTATTAATAGAGATGAGACAGAATCAATCTAATATGGCTATAGGGTCCAATATTGACATAATTTAAAAAAAACAGATATCGGACTGTTGGCGCCGATCCACAGCACCGATCAGGACAGATCGTTGGCTTCTTTAAACATTCTCATTCTCCCTCTCGCTTTAAAGACATTCAGGCTAAACTTCAAGCGTCTCTTTCAACACGTTCAGATGAGATTTAACAGCTCCCTCGAGATGATAAAAAAGTAAAATTCTTGCACTTCAGTTGAATATATTTAATTTGAAAACCTGACAGTTGTTGCTGCTACCTGTGTGTATGTGCACCCAGCTCAAAGTTCAAATTCATTTCTTTGGAATGATTCTATTTGTATGAATTTGTCAATGAGAGATGCAAGATTACACATAATACCAACAACAACAATAACACTTTTATTATGATCATATATATCGGAATCAGTATGGGTATCTGCACATACAGTATGTAATGGAATCGGATTGAAACTGAAAAAAAGTGGATCAGTATATCTCTAGTTTTCATTCAAACTAAACATGTTACATTTTACCAACAGCATTTATTTTTTTATTAAATCATGTTTGTCTTTTTTGTTTTTCCTTTTTGAAATGTTGCTTAATTCTGAATTTTATATTTTGGTAGGTAGCGCTGGTTTACCCTAACAGTGACCCTGGGATGTTCTGGGTGGCTTTCTATGGCTGCCTCCTGGCTGAAGTGATACCTGTACCTATAGAAGTACCACTGTCTCGCAAGGTAAGCAAACACTCACACGGGCATTTTGCAAGAACATATAGTTTTGTGGGGGTTTCTGAGCTATGAATGTGTTTTGTTTGTGTGTTGTTTTAGGATGCCGGTATCAGTCAGGTGGGTTTTCTGCTTGGTAGCTGTGGTGTCGGTCTTGCTCTAACCAGCGAGATCTGTCTGAAGGGTTTACCAAAGACACCCACGGGAGAAATACTGCAGTTTAAAGGTTGGTAAGCTCTTTCTGAAAGGATTGAATTGTATTCATAACTAGACTTGCTGTTTACCTTGATCAACAACAATGCTTAGTCTTTTATAAAATTGTGCTAGAGTAAAGAAAATAGAGTAATGGCTAAATCCCAAGTCCCCTTACACTGTTAAGCAGTTAGGATACAGTGTATTCTGTTATGAAGAAGAGACTATGGATTCAGGTTATAACTCCTCAACATTTGTGTATAGAAATGTATCCTTTTGATACATGTCAGTTTATCTTATGTCCCCTTTATTTTTTTAACTTTACTGTCAATGATGCCTCTCTCTGATAGGCTGGCCTCGAATGAAATGGGTGGTGACAGACTCCAAATACCTGACCAAGCCTTCCAAAGACTGGCAGCCGCACATCCCCACCGCCAACACCGACCCTGCTTACATCGAGGTAACCTCCTCCTTATCTGTTGACAACTCATTTTTCAGAATTACAAGAATATATATTATTTTGAAAAGTTTGTCATTTGTCACATTTCGGTCCCTTGTTTTCTCTGTGTGTAGTACAAGGCAAGCAAAGACGGCACGGTGGTGGGCGTGGCTGTCTCTAAAGTAGCCATGTTGACCCACTGCCAAGCTCTGACCCAGGCCTGCAACTACTGTGAGGGTGAGTAAAACCGTGCAGTGTGATAACCCCCCCCCCCCTCTGAAGGTGTCTTCATCAGTGCTGTTGTTATTCAAACTGAACTCACTCCTGTCTCTCTTCTCTTCAAGGTGAGACTTTAGTGAATGTTCTGGACTTTAAGAAGGATATGGGCCTTTGGCATGGAGTTCTCACAGTAAGTGTATTTGGATGTGTGCAGAGATGTGTTTGCACATAATAATAATAATAAGGAGTGAGGTCAAGTCCTGCTCTTTTTGTAAAGTGTCTTGAGATAACATTTGTTATAATATTGATTGATGGATTGATGATTTGATGCACATGCACGCTAAAGCAAGAATCTGACCAAAGCTTCAATTGACTTCCAGTGTTGTCCATTAAGTCGGCAGTGTTTTTGTTTTCTTGCCTTTGTGCTTTCTAAAAATGCTTTTAAAGTGATTTTACGTCATCTTAATCGCATCAGATCACTTAAGCAGAACAGTAAAGTGGATAGAGTGTGTTCTCATCAAGTATCTGGTAAACTGATCAATTATCCAAATGGATTCAATAAGACAGAGGAGTCCTGTGGTTATCTGAGACTAAGATACGTTTTTGTGGATAGAGCTGTTCCTGTATGTATTATTAACAAGGTGGATTTATTCCTCTCATATCCAGCCAAGCTCTTTTCTGTTATATAATTTAAATGTTTGGGTGATTTCTTTTAAAAGTCTTTGTTTTTTAAATTGTATCACTTAAGAATATGATATGTTTTTAAAGGCCATTTAATTATTTATGTATTTTTTTATCTATAGTTTTTTATTATTGTTGTTTATCTATTTTGGTTGATCACATTTGCATCATGTCTGCATTTCTGCTATTTAATTCATTAACATTTTAAGGCAGTAATTATGATTGTTCATCAAACTAAGCGAAAACAAAATCATTTGACTGGGAAAGTACCTTTCATCCATTAGGACTGTTGGATGTACGGGACAATTTTTTAACATTATCTGTCCAAATATACAAATGTGGGTTTTTTTGTTGTGATGGAAAAATAGGTATTATCCTGTATCAGATATTTTATCAGGGTTTCTTGCCTTTCCAGGCTGTGATGAACAGGATACACACTATCAGTGTTCCTTATGCTGTGATGAAGGCTTGTCCTCTCTCCTGGGTGCAGAGGGTCCACATAAACAAAGGTACATTTTACACTCTGTCAACTTGACTAAAGTCCCACAGAAGATTTGAATGCCCAACATGACATGTTGTGTTTTTTCACCTGCAGCTCGTGTAGGTTTGGTGAAGTGTCGTGATCTACACTGGGCCATGATGGCTCACCGGGATCAGAGAGACACCAGTCTGGCTTCACTACGGATGCTGATTGTTGCTGATGGTGCTAACCCCTGTGGGTACTCTATAACCCCCCATAGCTTAATAAACTATACCTGTGCAATGTAGATGTAGTAGTTGAAATAAAATCTCTTGCCCTCCAGGGTCGGTGTCTTCATGTGATGCCTTCCTGAACGTGTTTCAGTCACACGGGCTGAAACCAGAAGTTATCTGTCCCTGTGCCACGTCGCCTGAGGCCATGACAGTCGCTATACGCAGGTATGTAACCGACAGATCATTACTTTTTAAAATATTACACAGAATGAAACGAAACACACAAAAAATGAAACAATTTCTCCTAACAGTATCTATTACTATATTTAGTGCTAAATAATAAACAAAAGCTAACAAAGAGTAAATCACAACACGCTGCCTCACTCACTTTCGTTGTGACTGGTTGTTACTAGCAGGTAGGATGTAGATCTAGGCTATATTTTCTGAATGTGGCAGTGTACATGGGTGAGTGGGCAGATGGCTTACTGTAAGAACAGATGGGATGAGCTAAGGTGTCCATGTTTGATCGAATCCCTCTCCTGTGTAGACCGGGAGTTCCTGGCGCACCCCTCCCCGCCCGAGCCATCCTCTCTATGGGCGGCCTAAGTCACGGAGTCATCAGGGTCAACACTGAAGACAAGAACTCCGCCCTGACTGTACAGGATGTGGGCCACGTCATGCCTGGAGGTGAGCAAAGAAGGGAGGACGGATGAGTCAAGAGGAAAGCATGAAGACAAATGACAGATAGGTGCTTGTGGGGAAAGTCTTGACAAAGAACATTTGAGTGTCGGGTGCAAAAAAAAAAGCACTCATGACCTATATTATGTTTTCAGACAGAGAAGCCCATTAGGAAAGAAATTATGATTTGGAAAGGGCTGATTTGAAACATGTTGGTGTTTACACAAGAAACAGCGGTGTTATCTCCACATCTCTTCGTGCAAACACCAAAACACAACAAGAATATTCAATCAACTACATTGACACAGAAAGCTGTAGGATATGTTTCATCAGCAACATTATGTTTATGTTTTCAAAGAAACAATGATCTTTTCACGACTAATGCCCCGGATATGACAAGCCAGAATTTAAATTCTACTATATTTTTAGAGCTTTAATTTTTTTGTATTTTTTAGCCTTTACCTATTTTATTTCCTCTATTTTAAATTTGTCAAAAGCTTCCTGTGGACAGATGTTGCAAAAAAAACTGTTTCGCTACAAACACTTTATAAAGTGCGTCCGGTTATGTGCAGAATACTTTGTTGCGGTTGTACTGCTACTACTATGGCCAGTTGTCTAAGCTATAATTAATCTGTTAAACAAACAACAACTCTGCAAGTTCATTTTTATTTGACACAAACTATCTAATTGTTGCTCCAAAAGCGTGCTTTTGAAAGGTCTTATGGTATGTAATATGTACGTATATGGATTACAGAGTTTAAAATCGAGAAACCACAAATGAATGATAAACAAAACCTTTAATTATAGGTATATTATAAAAATGTGTATTACGGTTTCATATTTTCTCAGTTTTCACCTAAATTATCAACTTCTGAAGTAAATAACTACATTTTTGTTTGTAGCTACACCAATATATTTCAGGGTTTTTTCAAACCTTTGTAGTAAATACTAATACTCTCATGTATTTAAAATATCTACAATACAAAAGAAAGTGAGCCTATTTCCATGTATCCAAAATCACAATGCTCACAAAATCTCTCTGATTTTATCTGCCAATCTCAACAGTTGCAAAGTGCTGCTGTATATGTTTTCCTACTGATCATGCTCGATGTACCTCTTGTGAAGAGGTTTTTTAATGTCCCCTTAATGTGTCTCCAGCTCTGATGTGCATAGTAAAACCAGATGGGCCTCCTCAGCTGTGTAAAACAGACGAGATAGGAGAGATAATAGTGAACTCTCGTGCTGGAGGCAACATGTACTACGGTCTGCCTGGAGTCACTAAAAACACCTTTGAGGTAAGAAAGCAGAGTTAGCTCAACTTGCTTACTTATTACATTTCCTACTTGATGAGATTGTATTAAGTAGTCTTTTTTTGTGGTAAACCGCTGTCCATTCTGACTATGTGTCCATCTTGTTTCAGGTGATACCAGTAAATGCTAACGGAGTTCCCATCGGAGAGATTCCATTTGTGCGCTCAGGACTGTTGGGATTTGTTGGCCCAGTAAGTCTGACTGCTTCATTACAGTATAACATATTTAGTAACTCAAGTCTACCTGGAAACCTTCCTCCTCTCTCTGTTTTTGAATTGATCTTAATAAAGGCCGGTATCATGACCCCACTGTGTGTGTCCTCCACTCTTTGCAGGGCAGTCTGATCTTTGTGGTGGGGAAGATCGAGGGTCTGCTCATGGTGAGCGGGAGGAGACACAATGCTGACGACCTGGTGGCCACTGCTCTTGCAGTAGAGCCGGTCAAAACCGTGTACCGTGGGAAGGTGAGGGGACAAATACATTTAGTCTTGAAAGAAATTTGTTTATAAAAAGGATGAACTTCTCTGTGGTTCAAGTGCTGACATCTGGTGGTACAAAGGAAGCACAGCAGTACTGAACCATAGCTGGGGTGCAACAAAATGGTGCATTATAACAGCTAGTGTCAAGATTTTCAATATATAATCCTGTGTTTCTGTATGTGTTTGCATCAGGATTGCTGTGTTTTCAGTCACGGTGTTTTATGATGAGAGGGTCGTGATTGTGGCGGAGCAAAGACCAGACGCCAGCGAGGAGGACAGCTTCCAGTGGATGAGCCGAGTGCTTCAGGTAAATCTTTATTTTTATTTAATGTTCCTATCAAATCACACCTCACAGTGTACATTGCTTCTTTTTTTTAAACAATAAAAATAATTCTAGTGTTGTTAGTCTTCTTTTTTCCAAGACTAGTGAACTGTGATGATAACGCTCTCCATTCAGCACACCTCTTTATAAAGAGTCAAAATCGGCATTCTGTGAATGGAGGTTACGTTCATTTTTGGTATTCTGTGTAGGCTATCGACAGCATCCATCAGGTGGGCCTCTACTGTCTGGCTCTGGTCCCGGCTAACACTTTACCTAAAACCCCCCTGGGTGGCATCCATATATCTGACACCAAGCAGTTCTTCTTAGACGGCACCCTGCATCCTTGTAACATCCTAATGTGTCCCCACACGTGCGTCACCAACCTGCCCAAACCCCGGCAGAAGCAGCCAGGTAAGTGGCACATATCTTTAAATCAGGCATGTGAGGTGTGCATTAAGCTCTTTTCTAAATGGTTATGGGAACAACCCATTATATCTGCAAAGATGAAGGAAATTGCTGTTTGTTGTGCATGTAATACAGTCATGGTTTAAGACCCAAAATGAATCCCTCATGAGCATTAAGAAAAGTTACAGTGACAAGGAAAATCTGTCTTACAAGAGGCAGAACCAGACTCATACCGAACCGTGCTGCGCTTGAAAAATGGGATAGAGGGAGATGCAGAAAGAAGGAAAGTGACAAGCAATAATGAATAAGATAGATTCATAGCTACAATGCTAGTAATAGACGTGAACGTTGGTGTGGCATTAGCAGTAACAACTAAGTATGATAATTATAGAGGTTGAAGTTGAGCAGCTCTTTGCAAAGCAAAATGTGTCCACAAGATATTCCAATATATGTTTACAAGCTTTCCATGCTGTCCTTGCGTTTTCTGTAACCATTGTAAAACTGCTGATGGCACAGCTATGTTTTTTTTATGTACGTGAAAGTTGTAACATGCAGGTATAACACAAAAACTTGTTATATGTTAATATTAATTATATTCACTTCTTTATCATCTTTCCATAATCTTCTTACCACAGCAGAGCCATGTTTATATTTTGGTAGACCTCTGCATTCACAAAAACCTTTCACCTGCATTCTTCCAAGCTGTTTTATGTACACTGTCTTCTCTCGTAGTTGGCGTTGGCCCAGCGTCTGTGATGGTCGGCAACCTGGTGGCAGGGAAGAGAATTGCCCAAGCTGCAGGGAGGGACCTGGGCATGATCGAGGATCAGGACCTTGTCAGAAAGGTAGTTTTGACCACAAACTTTCACTTTTTTTCCATCAAGCCAAAAACTCTCTATGGGAGTACCTTTTAACCACGCTGCTGTTTTCAAAAGACGCAAACACAAGTTGTTTGAAATCAGGAGGAAAGTGATGCATTTGCTCTTTATGTCTCTGATAATGGCAAACAGTTTAGTAAAGACTTTCCATGTTGCCTGTGTTGTACTGGCCCATGCTCATTTTAGGCTTAGATTTCTAGATTTTAAGAAAAATCTGGACTCTTTTCTTTTTCTGCTCTCCTCTCTCTCTCTGGATGTAGCTCTGTATGTGGCCAACTGTGATGGTAAGAATTACGGCCCCCTTCTGGCATCTTCCCCACACTTTTGTTTATTTTTGTCATGCTCTTATCTGTATCTTATCTGTGTGCTTGTCTAAAAATGTGACATGAGCAAAAGTGTGCATGGTGTATTTAATTTGTACTTAATCACCTTCTGTAGCCTTTGTACCACATTAGTACTATTGAAATTTTAAGTTCATTATTTTAAGAGCTGGATTGGCACAGAGCATATGGAATAAATAGTTTGCACGTTGGCAAGAAATACGTTATTCCTGACAGCTCATACTGAGATACACATTGTCTGAGAACCACTTGAGTTAGCTTAATTTAGGTAATTTAAATAAAGTTCTTCCATCAGCAAAAACTCCTCCTGTACAACCCCTCCATGGTTGTGTTTGCAATCATGTTTAAATATGTGTGTGTGGGTGTTAATAAAGCACGTCCTCAGTACATCTTACATTTTTGTCTTTTCATTTCAGCATCAGTATTTGTCAGAGGCTCTACACTGGAGGGCACAGACAGACCCAGACCATGTCCTCTTTGTCCTTCTTAATGCCAAGGTATCAAACTGATCTAGATACAAAATAAGTACACTTTGGCTGTAATATAAGACCATCATGGTGAGTTTTTGCTCCATTTGTTTCTGGTGACCTTGTGACTTATTGCACTCTGCCTTATCCTTGACCTTCAGGGTGTGACAGTGGGCACTGCAACCTGCGTCCAGCTTCACAAACGGGCAGAGAAGATTGCTGCGGCGCTCACTGAGAAAGGAAGCATCAACACGGAGAGAACGTTGTGCTTCTATATCCTCCTGGTGGGTTCTGCCTCCAGCTTCCTGTCTGTGTCTATGCATTTCTCCTATTGAGCTAAATTATTCATTCTCTTCTATTTTTTTTATATAACCCACTTCTATTTCCAGGCATTGATTTGATAGCTGCCTTCTACGGCTGTCTCTATGCTGGATGTGTTCCTGTTAACGTCCGACCTCCACACCCTCAGAACCTGGCAGCAACGCTGCCTACTGTCCGCATGATTATTGATGTAAGTGTGTGTACTCTTTGTACATGTAAGTGTTTTATTGCATGCTCATTGGTTAGTGTTTACATACTATATGTCTTCTTATTAACAGGGTAAACAGGATCTTTTTTGTGGCCTGTATGTAAAAACATTTATAAGTAACCTGGTGACATTAGGATGAAGGATTTCATTTTTATCCCTGAGGGGCATTTTGCTTTACGGACAGCAGTACCACACAAACCATCACACAAACTGCAGAAAGAAAATTAAAGGAAAGTGGGATACATCAGAAAAAAAAAACACTTTATTGACTGAAAGGGAACCTCAGAGGATTTCTTTATATGGTAAGTAAGCACAAAGTATTATAGAGTCCTTCCATAGACAAGGAAGTCTATGAAGATGAAGAGTTGAGTTGAAGCACCCTAAAAATCCAGAGTCAGTTGGTTGGCTGGATGTGTTATGTGAACACAGTTATGTGTGCTTATGACTGTTTTTTGACTCATTTAATGTTTTACTATTTGAAGCTGCTTTCAGTTAATTGACTTGTGTTTTTTCTTTGCAGGTCAGTAAAGCTGCATGTATCCTTACTACTCAAAACCTTATGAGGACTCTGCGCTCCAAAGAGGCTGCTGCCTCTGTCAACATTAAAACTTGGCCAACAATTATTGACACAGGTAGGATAACTCAATGTCAGCCTTTTTATGGCAGGCTTTTTGCCTTGTCACACTGGGAAAAGGACAGGTGTTATTTACAGCAGCTGCTGAGTAGAACTCCCCTGTCATCAAGTTTTTTTTTTTTACACACACCAGGGCACTGTTTCAGAAAGCAGTATTAGTGAAAACAGAAAGAGAAGTCAGTCAAACCCAAGAAAGAGGGGTAACTGAAGCCCACTTCAGAACGAGAGGATCAACTTGAGGAGCAGGTTTTCTTCAATCAGCCCCAGGTTTCTCTCTGTCTCCTCCCTCTTACAGAGCCAGAAAAGCGGTTTCATTTCCTCATTCATTCATTCAGTCCACATCACACGTGTGTTAGTGGATTCATCTGAATGAAATTCCAAATAATATTACAAATTAATATGTGAGGCATATTATATAAAAGACACTTTTAGTAAAACATGTCTTGTCATTTACTCGAGGAGCCCCTTGATGAAGGGGCTTCTTAGGCAGTTACATTTTAATTTGATCAGTTCTAATTAATGAACAGCATATAAAGGTGATAGGACATTTATGTATGTGAAGCCAGCGTTATGTTGGGGATAAAGCTAATGCATATTGAAATGATGCCACTGAATGATTTTTTCTTTAATGTGTCAAATATTATTACGGTGAGATATCACCATGAGCCTTTTAAGCCTTAGCCTTACCTGTTTGAACTCTTATGTTTCATTTTGAGCTGCTTCCAAGTCTGCTTTTCTCCCTAATTAAAAATAAATTTGATACCATATACTCACACCATTCAACCAGTTTTCACCAGTAATATTATAGTTGTGATTAAATATTAAATGCATAGAGTATATTTACATTTATGCATTAATTCAAGCAGCAATTTTCTCCCTTACAGCTTCTCCCTGCATGCTGCTGCAGCAGTGTTACTTTTTTGCCCCCTAAAAACATGTCCATATTCGTTTTATGTTCGCAAGAACGAAGAGCTCTTTTTGTCACCTGCTGCCATGGTGAATCGTAGCATCGGGGCCCAATTAATGATTGAACTAACTCAAATCAGCTGTTCTGGAACTAAAACACTCAAGAGTCCCCCAGCTCAGACACAATCAACTCAGAGGTCCGGATAGGGCTCAGAGTTTGTTGAGCCTGCTTTCTGACATAGGGAACCCCTGTGCTTTTTACCCACTGTGACAAGTCAAAATGTCTCTGTAAAAAAAATGTAGTTACCAATTATCAGAACATTTACTTGTGTGATGACAACATGATATGTCTACTTCATAGACTTGCAAAAGCTTTTGCTCCAGTAACATAACAAGTATAGCAAATAAAGAAACCGTGTACATTCTCATTTACTCTTTTTATGCGAGTGTTCACAATAATAACAAAATGTTTTTTTTGGAGTTACATTACACACATAGTTTAAAGTTCACAGTTGTTGACTTTCTCATAATAATATCAGACAAATGTGAACTGATCACAGTGCGTGTAAAGTTAGTGGTGTATAAAGTTGTCAGTTGTGTCAGAAACACTTGTGTCAGTTACTGTGCTACCCTTTGCTGTGACAAGGTTCGCAGCATTAAAACAAACAGGAAGTAGGACATTTGTCCAATTACACAAATCGCTCAGTGGGTGGACAAGTGCTTGGTGCACTTCATTTTGTTGTTGCTGCTTGCAGCTGTATATCTATTTTCCTTTTACTTAACTGAATAAATACAAAACTCTTCCTATCAATGATAACCTTCCTATTGAATGTATAACAAACAATAAATAATAAATAAATCCATTATCTGATAGGAATAGTTCACTGTGTAGATTGCATTATAATCAATTTGATCATCAGTTAATATTGCTTGATATATTTTAATTATTAATTTTTTTTTTTGCAGATGACCTTCCTCGCCGCCGGCCTCCACAGATCTATAAGCCGCCCACAGCAGAGATGATAGCTTATCTGGACTTCAGTGTGTCCACCACGGGCATGCTCACCGGCGTCAAGGTTAGTTATAAAAGTGTCCTCTTGGTTCCTCTTAAAGTAACGAGGTATGCAGCGGCTGAGCTCTTGAATGTCTTCGTATTTATGTATTGTATTTTTATATGAATGATGTCTTAAATCACAAAGTGAAAATGAGAGAGGTCCTGCTCATTGTGATGAATCTATAGAAATAAAGCTCTTAAAACCCGTTGTACTCCTCCTCAGCATCAAACATCACAGAGCTAAATTAGCACTAAGAGGTCAACATTTTTTCATGAACAGTAAAATAGTCGGATAGTTATTTCAAGAGTTGTTTGAGCCAAAAGACTGTGCCAAAAGTGAGCAAATACTGGAATGAGGGGGGTCAGACACAGTATTACAAGAACTGTGTGGCTCTGAAACTTCCTGTGTTTATAAAAGATGCATTTTTTTACACTATATGAATTGAAAAGGTGGTGAAATGTCTGTTTTGTTAACGTCTTTCTCTGCTGCCCCCAAGTGGCCAAGGTACACTATTTGAACTATGAGAACATGAGTCATGCTGCAACACCAAGACACAAAATAAACACACTGTTGATCACAGTTCTTGTTCAAAGGGCAATAAAACTTGACAAGCTACCACAAAGGGACACACAACAACCTAAAAGATAAACAAGCAACCACACAGAGACGGGGAAAAGGACAACTACAGGAAGATACAAAACAACCACATGGAGACACACAAAAATAAAAAACAGAAGCAAAAAAAAAACACACACACAAAGAGACACAAACTTCTACAAAAACAAGCAATAAGACCTAAAATGGAAACAAACAACCGAGATGCAAGTATTTCTCTGATGTAGTTGTGTGGGCCGTCTAACATGTCATGTAACATGAGTTACAGGAAACAACTTTGGAAAGATGTTGCAGTTGGGATTCTTATGTGTATTCTTGTTTGTTACAGATCTCCCATGCAGCAGTCAGTGCAATTTGTCGCTCTGTGAAGCTTCAGTGTGAACTATACTCCTCTCGCCAAATAGCCATCTGCCTGGATCCTTACTGTGGACTGGGCTTTGTCTTGTGGTGCCTCGCAAGGTACCATAAACCATCACCCATACAACATACAGCCTATATACCACAATTCTCCTGTATTGTGATGTTCATTCTCCTTTGTATCTTCAGTGTTTACTCAGGTCATCAGTCCATCCTGATTCCTCCCTTTGAGTTGGAGAGCTGCTTGCCTCTGTGGCTGAGCACACTCAGTCAGTACCGCATCAGAGACACCTTCTGCTCCTACTCCGTCATGGAGCTCTGCACTAAAGGGTTAGGGACTCAGACCGAGTTGCTCAAGGTGAGGAATCTATGTATAAAAGGAAAATCATCAATGACTAAGATCGATTATTTTTCAAGGATTTGATGAAAATACATGGGTGTGTTTTAGGCCCGCGGAGTGAACCTGTCTTGTGTGAGGAGCTGCGTGGTGATAGCAGAGGAGCGTCCTCGCCTCGCTCTCACACACTCCTTCTCCAAGTTATTTAAAGACGTGGGGCTGTCCACCAGAGCTGTCAGCACTGCTTTTGGGTCCAGGGTTAACCTGGCAATCTGCCTGCAGGTACACCAACCAAATTATCCTGATTACATGTTTTAAATACAATTGTAACTTTGATATTAGCAGGAAGATACACTATCTCCTTTACAATGGAGTTTACTTTGTATATTACCTGGAAAAGAACTGGACAGAGTGTATGAACCTCTTCTTCTGTGTTATAGGGCACCACTGGTCCTGATCCCTGTACGGTTTATGTGGACATGAAGTCCCTCCGCCATGACAGGTAAGAACACAGAAGTTACATTATATTGTTTTTTGTTTTTCAATTACACTGCATGAAGCAACACAGGACATATATTTGAATAATTATGTGTGTTCTGTGTGGATTTGTGGACTGATCATTTATTTATTTCACATTTTGTAGGCATCATTGATGGATTTAAAAAAAAAAACAAGCAGGATATGGTTTTATTAATAGATTCTGTAAACCTTTGTCTCTCCTAAACTTCAAATGATTTATTTTGTGAAGCGGTGAATGAAATGATAAACTAAATAGACATCCCTTAGATCTCAAGTACTTCGAAAAAAAACCCTCCTGTATAAACCTCATAAACACCGAACAGTACAATGGATGCTGTTCAGCACATCTTCAGAAAAAGAAAATGTTATCTTTTCTATCTTGATTATTGTGTATGTCTGCTTGTGTGACTTTGCAGAGTGAGGCTAGTGGAGCGAGGAGCACCTCAGAGTCTTCCTCTAATGGAGTCTGGCAAGGTGAGTTGATACGTTTTGCACGTAGCATTTGGTATTGTTCGGTCAATTAGTGTTATGCTTAAAATAGTGCATACTGACAGCTTTTGTTTCTTCTGCAGATACTTCCGGGTGTTCGGGTAATAATCGTAAATCCTGAGACCAGAGGTCCTCTCGGAGATTCTCATCTAGGCGAGGTGAGAGAAAGTCATAATTAGGCCCCCTTGTGATGTGATGACAGCATGAAAGCGTTGTGTTAAGCATTCTTCCCTCTCAAACTAGCAGTGACCGTGTGTGTGCTTCTTTATCTCTCCTAGATCTGGGTGAACAGCCCTCACAGTGCCAGTGGCTACTACACCATCTACGGAGAGGAGAGTCTGCAGGCTAACCACTTCAACACCAAGCTCAGCTTTGGAGACCCGCAGACCTTATGGGCCAGGACAGGATACCTGGGTTTTGTGAAGAGGACTGAGCTGCTGGATGCTAGTGGGGGTAAATAGACCCTGATAGAGGTTTAGTTTGGATTTAATTGCATTTTAATGAGTTCATTATAAAATAGTTACAGTATAATGAATGAAATTAAATGAAAGTAAACACATTCCTCTCTTCTTCCACTTGTTTCTCTACTTTGGCCGCACACTTTTCTTGGTGAATAATGTTGTTGTGTGTCTGTGCTCAGATCGACATGATGCTCTGTTTGTGGTGGGCTCTCTGGATGAGACCTTGGAGCTCAGAGGCCTGCGCTACCACCCAATCGACATTGAAACTTCAGTGTCCCGGGCTCACCGCAGTATTGCTGAAAGGTGAGATGAATCACACAATTATTAATGGTGTGAGGTAAAAATGTAAATGGACCGGTAATATCCAACCCAAAATGTAAGCTCTTCCCATGGCAAAAGAGAGCATATTGAACATTTTTTAGAAACTTGGAAGTTAGTCATGGGTGCAGAGAGAAGTCATTCTACAACATCATACTTTCTGCTATGGAAATTCTTCTTTTATTATTTCATTTGAATGTTCAAGATTATAAGCGTTTTACAAGAATAATCAACTTAAACTCCAAATTTGAGAGAAAGATGTAGTTATGCTGCTCTGTCTGACAGGATGACCAGATGTCCTTGATTCCTTTGATTATGTTGAAAACTCCTCTAAAACACCTTGAGGTATGCGCAACAATGGAAAAGCTCCAACCTGCTGCAAGTCGTATCACTCTTTACAGGAAGAATTATAAACAAGCTACTGACTGCTATAGTAAACTAATCACAAGTCACAAGTCTGCGTGTGCTACATCTACATGTCAAATGAAAAGTGGTATACAGAAGTTAAAACATTTTTATAAGTTGATGGTTGTAATTCTGCCTGATTTAAGGAGGGGTTACAGTGCACTCGTCAACCCTACTTCCTGGGCAAAAGAGTTAGCATGTCTCTGTTTGAATGTAAAAAACACACCTGCCAGGACCTAGAAAGCCCAATTACTAACAATGTTCCATTGTTTGTTTAAAACCATGCCTTATCATTTTTGGACTTCAGTTTTTGTAAGGATTAAAGGGAGCTTAACTAACAGTCTGCTGAGGTATACAAACATTAGAGTGTGATTAACCTTCTCATCTAACTCTCAGAGAAAGAAAGCTAACGAGTAATTGCTAAATGATCCGTTTACCATTGCTTTAGGTGACCACTATATTCTCAGTTGCCCTAATCTTGTTCCTCACAGTGCTGTGTTTACGTGGACCAACCTGCTGGTTGTGGTGTCGGAGTTGTGTGGTTCAGAGCAGGACGCGCTGGACCTGGTGCCTCTGATAACCAACGTGGTCCTGGAGGAGCACCACCTAATTGTGGGTGTCGTGGTGATCGTGGACCCCGGGGTCATACCCATTAACTCCAGGGGGGAGAAGCAACGCATGCACCTTCGTGACTCTTTCCTTGCCGATCAGCTGGATCCCATCTATGTTGCTTACAACATGTGAGGTGCTCGTGGTGCTCTAGGCTTGTTTAGCCGTCATCCGCAGTGTGGATGCTTCTCCATCATCCCTGCATTTGATCACAGCTTAGCTGATGTTGGAAAGGAAAAGCATGAGCCACATGTTCTGCCACCCAGCCCTGTGCAACACCAGCATATCTCGGCTATTGCATGTCTGTGATTGGACCTTCCATGTTTGGAGTTGTTCACTGTGTTTTTTAGATAGAAACAATGCACTGCATACAACAAAGAGAAGAAAAAAACCCTGGTTGCACTTTTCTGGGTAGAGGGCAAAATGACACATTCAACAGAAACACTTTTTTTCAATTAATTCCATATTAATGTCTTTGTGAAAATCCATCATCTTATTCTGTGCCCACCACAAACCTGTAGAAAGACTTTCCTTTGTGTTTGACTACACAGACTCCAAGAGCTACTAAACCTATATCAACAACTTGAAATTTTACTTTTTACATGCAGCTTTTAAACAAGCACACAAAGTCATGAGCAGAGCCTTTGTCATTCCTCACTAACATGGATGGTTTAAAGAGGGCAGAGGAAAGCAAACTATTACATAAGTAATAAAACAGCCATTTTTTTGTGCATTATTTAGAAAGCATATTTTGTCTCATGATAAAGAAGCCAAATAGAATTCAACGTTTCTGCCCAAATATATTTCCTGCCTTATAAAACTTCAGCCATACATTCCTAACTTATTTTTTAATGAACCTGTTACTAATGGCTGTTTATTCTTCTTTGTTTTTGACTCGAAGTCAAAATCCTGCAATCAATAGGGATCAAAATAGAAGAGGAAAGAGGCCATATTCTATACTGTATCTATAAAGGCCTGTTGTATTTTAGATACTGTACGCTACTGTATAAATATTTTTAATTGTACAAATGTATAAATGCTTGACGTGTCTCCCTCAGTTGTTGTTTAATGGAGGCAGCTGAGAGATGATAATAGTAGCAGAGAGAAGATTGTAAATAAGATTTTAACAGTACTTTTGAAGCTGACTATTAACTCTATGATGGAGGGTGGGATGAATAACTTTAAAGCGTTGTCAGTCAGGATAGATTTAAACAATGCACTTTCTCAAAAAGTGTCTATTTTATTATAGCAATGAGGCATTATAAGAGATGGACAAGGAGCATACATTATTTTGTCAAAATAATTGGAGGAGGTGTGAGAGTTTACAGGGAGGGCTAAAGCTGTTAATGCCAGGGACCTTTCCTGTCAAAAAAAAAAATACAGGTGTGAGGAGAAGTGACTGTTTTCATGCGACCAAGTGTTTCATTTTCATTTTTGTAAAATGTATAAGAAAGGCCCACAATCTTGTCACATCTAATATTAATTACTATTGTACTTTGTATTACTTAACACTCATACAATCCCGGTTTGCTATTGCACTAATCAGTAGAGCAAGTGCTTGAGAGGGTTTGGCCCTTTCCTTTTCCTCTCCACACTCAACTGTGTTTTGTCTTTTTGCAACTTTGTGAAAAAAAACAAAAAAAAACGACTTTGAATTCAGACTGGACCTTTGTTGCCACTGAAGTCTGTAGGCAATAGAGGCAATTTCATCATCATTTATCTGGATTCTTTTCTGTCTTCAGTCACTGGATTTTTTTAGCACTTGTTAATGCAGTTGCAGAGCTGAGCCACGTTGGAAACATTCTTTAAGGGCGAGAAAAGTAGTCATTTGAAAAAAAAAGAAAAGGGTTGGTGGGGGGGGGGGGGGCATCACAATGCATTTTGCATTTGGTTTTCTGAAATCTTGTGCTCTCCTTTGTGTTCCTTGCCATGATGTATAGGTTCTTTGTACTGGATTATACTGTAATTCATTGATGAACCCTTATTGTCACCATGTAAATACTTGCGGTTTTTTTGTTTGTTTGTTTGTTTGTTTGTTTTTTTTAAATTGTCCCATTATAGCACTCATGACAACGGCAATATGAAAAAAAAGATATATAATACTTTCAAGTTAAACAGAAATATGATCTATTCAATGACTGCACTTTGCACTAGTGGGACTACAAGTAGGTTTATACTGTGTGGACTGATTGATTTATAAACCCTCACTTCATGGCACATTAAAAGTGGCAATCATTTAAAAAAAATGTATTTGACATTTAATTTTACCCACCTTGAAGATCACTATAAGCACTTCATATTTGCTTTAACATTGCATCCTATGTTTGCATAGAATGTTTGCATGACTCAGCCAACCACAGAAGAAATCGGCTTGAGGAACCTCTCATCTCCAGGCACAAGTGGGTGAGACGTATGTGTATGATATAGTATATTCAGGGAACAAAACTTTCAACACAGGGATGGACCAGATGGTCCCTTGGTGCAATCTGTGAATATTACCCACAAAATGTACATGTTTTTTCAATAACATTCTCCTTGAAATTAAGGCAGACCCTGCAAACCTAATGAGCAAACCGAGAGGTTACTGAGAACCATCCACCATCTGCCTGCTTTGCTGGGAAGTCTACAAGGGCTTCCTTTGGTTTCTGCTCCTTTTCACTGTCAGAGTTCTTACACACTATGCAATCCCAATGACAGTGCTATTTAATTTCAAAGCTTTCACAGTCTGGTGAAATATACGTGATGCTTATACATTTTGTACTAACTAAGATCAGAGGACTGACACTACTAGTGTACTTAAGATTGCATTGATCTCTCTTCAGTTTTTCTTTCAATAATTTGTGTATGACCCTGGTATGTTGTATATTAATGATTTGGTTAACTCTTAACTGCTCCTCGAGGGCATGACTAATCTTCAATGTTAGGGAGGTGTTTTATCTTACATAGTAAAGAATTCAAAGTGGTACACCCTTTCCCATTATTTTCTCATTTATTTTCTATTTGGTTTGTTGTACTTTGTTTTATACTTTATGTAAAAGTAATACAGAATAAAAATGCATTTAATCAATTCAGATGTCTTGATGTTTATATTTTTTAGTATTGCTTTTAAAATAAATAAAATTCAGATGTTTTTGTGTAACAAGAATGTGGTTCTACTATAAATACATTTTAATTAAAAAAAAATATATATATATATATATATATATATATATATATGGTACTAAACTATGAAATTTTGTACATCTCTGGTTTCAAGGAGAGAAGTCCAAACACAAGAGGTCTGAATCCTGAAAATCTGAAAAAAAGGCTATCATTATTAAGTAGGCCACCTTACAAAATTGAATGGCCCTAGGAATTAATCAATATTGATATAATCAATATGGTTAATAACAATACTATATCATCAATAAGGTAGATGCATAGCTGATTTAAGAGTATTGTTTACTGTTAGGAAGTCTTATCTCAAATAGTGCCACTTGATTTTTAAGACCCACAGATCAACCAATAATTATCTATTTGAATCAAAGTACTAGCTATCAAGTAATTACAAAAAGTAAAACGTATCGTATTGATTAATTTCAACAACGAGATGTAAATGTGAATTTAAGGTCAAGTAAAGTAGTAATAAAAAAGTTATTGAGTAAAGTATGCTTAATGTAACACATGACTGTTCACTGTCTATGGTTTGAATCTACCAGTTGCTCAACTCTCTTAACCAATCACAACCCAGAGTACTAATTACGTAATGCGTCTTTGCTGAGCAGCCCCGCCCATTTCCTCTGGGAAAAAAAAGTACTCAGCTATTTTTTTTTAGCTGACATCTTCGTATTTTTAGCTGTTAGCCACTGCTACTTGGTAACTTTCCAACACCTCTCTTGTGTATAAGTATAAACACGAATTTCACCAAGTCTTCGCTGTGAACAAGAGCAGTTACGCGGTCTTTGAAAAGGTAAAAATTGGCTTGCTGGGCAGCACTTATTTGCTCCGCGGTGACGGTAATGGCGGCTGCTGCTTCGTCAACTCGTCGCTGTTAGACGAAAAGGGAAGGTGTAGTTAGCTTAATGGCTCCCCGTATCGCTGACGTCTATTGACGCGGTAACTTGCGTGTCAGTGACAGAGTTACACATATTTGCTCATTGAAACAAAAGCTCGTCCATCCCTTGAACCAGAGCAACAAAACGTGTCTTGTTCGTAGTGTTTAAATAATTGTTTTAATGGTTTTAAGAGGTAAACATCCGTTTAACTGAACGATAAGCTACAGGTAGCAGCAGTGTTAGCTGTGACTCAACAAACAACTTTGTATTTCATGTCGAAACATTTGACTGAATTGGATCATGAAACTTTGTGTTTTTATTTATTTATTTATTTATTGAAGTTAATAGTATTGACTGTGGGGCCTGGCTTTGTTCCGTGACCTTTCTAACGCTGGTTGTATTTTAACTAAACCAAAGAGGAAGTCGATCCTCATTCACCATAAAGTGTCTCCTTTAACTTTCAAAGTTGCTTTTACCTAAAGTAAGATACTGTGATTTGATGTCTCCTTTGCTGGACCCACATTGGTCCGGAAGAGTAATAAACTAACTTATATTCACACAAAAAAAAAAAAACTTACTGCCCAAAGTGGTGTACATCTGTGTCCAGACATTGAACCCCGCTACAGACAGGTGATGTGCTACATTAGAGCCATTGTAAAACAGTAATATTTATTTATTTGTTCCCAGTTACTATGGAAGAAGTACACCAAGGCAGCAATGGCACTGATTCACAGACTGCCATTATTCCCACATCCATCACAACCTCTCAGTTCTCACAGATAGCCCAACAGGTAACTAATAGATCCCTTTAAAAAAAAAGTATCTCATAAATACTGACTTTTTATATTGCCTCAGTTGCTTTTGCACTGCAAATACTTGTCCACTTTGCATATGAAGGTCATGAAGACAGATCACTTAATATTGATTTATGAGATATTAAGCAAGTATCTTTTGATCCTCAATATATAAGTAGAATCTAAAAAGAAAGTCAAAAGACTCATGAATCTGAAACCTCAACTTAAGAAAATTAATTGACAAAATCCTTGTTGTTTTTTTATATTGCAATAATGAAAGTCATAAGTGTGTCCTGGGATAAGACAGATAAGTTTACTCAATGGGGGTTTGCTCCTTTGTGGCTGTGTAACTTGATCCACATTGACGGTGACAGTAGAAACATGTATAGTGCTGTAAAATCTGGTATCTGATTTATCACTGTTTTAAAACTGTTAATGAACACATACCTACATATATAGAAACAAGAACCAATATACCGTATGTATACTCATCCCTTTATATACGTTATCCGATTCAAAGACACCAGCCCCCTATATTTATGGATAATTGAATTACCCCCAAGTTGTTAAAAGAATGCGTTTCGTTTTAGCTATAGTGATTTTCATTTTTTAAAATCGGGATGATCCAAATTGTCCACACACAGTTTGAAAGCTATTACTATGATTAAACATACTTTGCTTTTTTTGGATTTTAAATTCTGTGTTTGTTTGTTTTTTTTATAGATGTCGCTAGCTGGTTCTTCAGTGGCTCTTGTACAGATGCCAGGGGGTCAGTTTCAGGTCCAAGGAGTGATCCAGTCTGCACAATCTTCGGTCATTCAGTCCCCTCAGGGTCAGACTGCGCAGGTGAGACTACCTATCTTTCTTCGTATGGTTAACTTTGACTCTGAATGTTGGCCTCTGTTAATTAAGTTTCAATGCAGCTTTTTTGTTTTCATATTGTTTATACATTCATATTGTTTATACATCTCCCTTTTCAAAGGTCAGGGACTCAGATAGTGAAGATTCACAGGACTCATCAGACAGTGGAGAAGTCACTGCCCAAAAGACCCGAGAAATTCTAGCAAGGCGGCCTTCTTACAGGTTAAGAAAAAATTAAATTGATACATATCACCCAAATTATAATTATAAGTTAATTACTAACCTTCCTCTTTCCATCTTGTAGAAAAATTCTGAATGAACTTTCTTCAGAAGAAGTGACGCACATTGAAGTGAAGGATAACAGCCCGGCATCCACAGGTGTTACAGTACCCACCACCCCAATCTACCAGACCAGCAGCGGCCAGTACAGTAAGAACTTTATCCTCCTATAGTTCTTGCCTGTAAGAGCTCTTAAGTGGAGTATAATGGCCTTTGAAATTGGCGGTGTGTGTAAAGGTTTTATGTTTCTGTAGGCCACCAAAATGACTAGCAATTTGGATGATGTATTTCATAATGTATGTCTGTATTATAATGCCATATTTATGATTATTCTAGTTACCATATCAGCTAATGGTACAATCCAGTTGGCGACTCCAGGGTCTGAAGGCATTCAGGGACTACAGACTGTTGCCATGGCAAACTCAGGTGGAGCCCAGCAGGGTACTACCATCCTTCAGTATGCCCAGACACCTGACGGCCAGCAAATACTAGTGCCTAGCAACCAAGTTGTGGTACAAGGTGAGGATAACACAGCATGTTTTTAAAAAGGGTTGCTTAGTTTCAGAGACAGTTTTTTATTTTAATATAGTTACCTTTGGATTCCAGTATGAAATAAAATTTACCCTAAAGAGCTGGGGTATTTGGTCAGCAAATAACAAAGTTTGAATTAGTAGAATATCAGTCAAAACTTAACAAGTGATTGCTTATGCTGGCTTTACACCTAACAACTTTTCAAGCAATTTCAAAGTCAAAACAAATTCCAAAGTTAGATTAAAATAATGAGAGTTTTGCTAGAGTCTTGGCGTTTGGTGTAAGGTGGTCATTAAACTCAATCTGAGGTGTTTTAAGGCATTGTTTTTCACGTCTAAGTGTTATTGCAACTACTCAATGCCTCTCCACTTCTCATTCACTGGAGCTACAATTTCCTCTGCAACAGACCACATGCCGTAAAAAGTAGGGACAGCAACATCATCAAAAATCAATATGAACAACGGAGCCCGCCAAGGTTGTGTTCTTAGTCCCTTCCTGTATACCACATACACAATTGACTGTATCAGTCCCTCACTTGTTATAACATACTGCAAATACACAGATGACACCGCCATCTGATTTCAAGGACCACAGCCAATCCTGTCCACCTTTTTCCCTTCTCCACTCTGTTGTGGTACAAAGAGGAGGACATGTCAGAGAGACATTCTTGCTCTCTCCACAACACCACCAGTCGCCCCTCTTCAGTTTTCTGCTCTTGTGGTTTTTGGAAATACAGTTTCAGTCTGATGCAAATTAAACAACATAAAAATTAGTCAACAAGGCCAACATGACAAAAAAACTGTAACACAACAAGGGAGAAGAAAGGCAAAAAAATTAAAAGGGAATTTTATAAATAAAGAAACATAATAAAGATGAAATTGTATTTCAATTGCTGTTTGGGGTCTGGTTAAGTGAAAGACTAGGAGGGCAATCATCAAAGTATCAGGGATACCTTAAAATTGTGGGGTCACTTTTAAGAATTTATTCGTACAAAAAATACTTGGCAAGTATGACCAAGTTATTACATTTTTAAGAAATCCAACATTCTGTCCTCCATTACAAAACCAAGTCTGATATAAATCAAGGTTGGCATTATCATATTATTACGCAAAAACCAGCTTTGAAATTCACCCCAAATAAACTAGACACTTCTCTGCTCAAAACTATTAGCGGTAGTTGTAAATTGTTAACAAGTGCATGATGGGAAATAATCTCAAAAGGAATATAGTTGTAGTCTTGCAGTTAGTGACCCTTCAAGATCCAAGTCTTTGCAAAATCTAAGCCTGTAACTAAAAACTGCTGACACATAGTCTACAGACGTTAGTCTTTTAAAAGTCTTTCTTTAGTTTTTACAAAGTCCTCCAGTGTATGGAAGGCATTAGGTGATGCATGCTGTGTGTTACACCTGTTATAAGCCCTGTTGTCATATTTACGCCATTGTGTTCCTGTAAGGAGCAGGAGGTGAGATGCAAGCATACCAGATCCGAACAGCCCCAACCAGCTCGCTGCCTCAGACTGTAGTTATGACCTCTCCTGTGGGCAAATCTGATGATCCAACAATGAAGAGGGAAATCAGGCTTGCAAAAAACAGGTTTGTGTGCAATTGTTTTCTGCAAAAGCATGGCTCTGCCTTGGGCGTAGCCTTGGATGTTTGGTTGACATGTTATTAATGCTCAAGCTGAACCAATTGCAAATATTTTAATAATTCAGAGATTACAGGAGAGACAAACTGGGCATGGGAATAAAAGAGGGTTTGTGAGGCAGTGCCTGTATTTCTGGTATTTGCAGGGTACAGAAAGACATTTTTCCTCATATTGTAAATAGTCTTTTTTTTTTAAATCTACATGTTTTACTTGCATATATTTAACTCTGATACACCTAGATCTTTACAAATAGGCATGCAAATAGTCCACTATTTGTAACTTTCTTTTGAACCAGAGACATTGTTGTACTGTGATTTTGTATTCACACTTATTGTTATACCTTTCAGTTTGACTAACTGCACTTTTCCCCCTCTTTTAGAGAGGCAGCTCGTGAATGTCGACGGAAGAAAAAAGAATATGTTAAATGCCTGGAAAACCGTGTCGCTGTTCTCGAAAACCAAAACAAGACCCTTATTGAAGAACTCAAAACATTAAAGGACCTTTATTGTGTTAAAACAGGATAAGTCTTTGAATAGAGGTTGAGGATCGATACAGAATGTGGGAGCGTCACAGCTCAGCCATTGGGACATGAACAGGGTTTCTGGGAACACTTCCATTTCAGGCTGAGATCCTACTCTTTTTTTTTACTGTTTGATATAAAAGTGACCAGTGACGGCAATACGATATACTCAGCAAACAAAAATTAAATCGGCCACTTTTCCACCTGCTTTTTTTAAATCGCTAATGCTATAACATTTATAGTTGTGTACATTTTTAATACTGGGAGGTTTGAAATTGTGAGATTTAACTTTGAGTCTCAGTTTCTAAATGTGTCCCTTTCCTCTTTTTTTCTTGTGTTCTTAAAAATGTTACCGTTTATTTTTTTTTATCTTCCAACAGCATCTGCAGGATTTTGAATATTAAATTACCAAGCAGACATAATCCCTCCTTATTTTGTGAACCAGCATTTCCCATCATTTTCCTTCAAAGGAAATGTTACAACTGTCATTCCTTATTTTTGTGCAATGAAATATAAAGGGTAAGAGAAAGCCACACATTGAGTGTGCTTTGTTTGGTTGTTTCTTGGCAGTTACTTAGACAATCAGGGAAAAAAAAGAAGCACAGTGTCCAGGTAATATTTATTGTGTACATCTTGGGAGGGTTGGGAAAGAAGAACAATGTATGAAATGTTGCTGATTCTGTAAGTAAATAAATATATTTTCACTCAATGAATTGCTGCTGATGTATTTTTGTTCAGTGTATGTGAATGTGTAAGCAGATAGTGTACACTTAACAAGGGTTTAGGCAAAATCTTTTTTCTTTTTTCTTCTACTGACAGCTTGAATGCAAATATACTTTTTGAAACCCATCAAGCAACTTCAAGTTGTTGCTTTTTCCCATCCAGTCATTTTATGGAGTATCCCATGATATGTGGTCTTATCATCAGAGTCACTTCTGGGGCCTCTATGTGTTTCAGGTTAAGTTCAGAGAAACCTGCTGCCTCTAGGTCCTTCCATGTTTCTCTGGTAATCCTGCACCCGTCCCCAAGATAATACCAGAAAGGCTCCAGCACATGCTGGAAGAAGTACGTCCAAGAGGAGGGATTAGAGATGACATGTTCCAAAAAGAAGAAGCCTCCACCCTGAGATGGAAGAGGCAACAAAAGCAGATTATTACATCAAATCAGGTTTTGCAACTTCAATAGTGATGCATGTTTTTGTTGGAAGTGAAACAAGAGAAGCAACTTTAACTACTAACTTTGACCAGACGTTATATATGCCTGTGTATGTTTTTTAACTTTAAAATGTAACAGACACAGCAGAGTGGCAACATTTACATTTTCTTATCTTAATTTTTAATGACTCAATGAAGATGCATGACCATATTCACTATACTAGCAAAAGAAAATGATGTGTTACAGTTCAGAATTTCATGTTTGCCACTTGGGTGGCCAATCAGATTTCTAGGATGGCCCTGACCAACTCTTACCTCCGTCCCTGTTAAATATATTTTAAACATTTCATTTATATTAAGCAATACCCTTACGTTTTGACTAATAGACTCTAAATATATTGAATTGATTTTTCAGTTGCTACACTTCAGTGCATATAAAAAACGAATGCCCATTATTTATCAAGCAAAATTGCCTGGCGGACTTTGTCAAATTGTGTTTGTCAATTTAAGGTTGCCCTTGGGCAATTGTAATCTTGATCAGCTCCTGTGGCCGGTAGTTAAGTTACTCATGTGCCTGAAGCCACAAATAGAATATTCCCTGGAGCACTTGAAGTAGGCATTCTGAACTTACTGGTTTGAGGACGCGCCGCACCTCGTGCAGCACCTGCAGCGCGTTGTTAACAGAGCACAGTACCAAGGTGCAGACTACCACGTCCACGGACTCGTCCTTTACTTCCTTCATGTCCTCCCCACGCGCCACTAGAAACTCGTCATACGTCAGGTGCGTGTTTGAACCCATGCTCAACCGCAGGTATTTCTCAAAGTGCGGGTTGGGGTCAGTGCAGATCACCGTGCATCCGTAAGGATAAAACTTGAAGTTTGCTCCGCTGCCACAGCCGATCTCCAGCAGCCGAAGAGTACCATCGGTGTTTGTAAATTTAGCTACGTTTCGAAAAAGCTCTCTCTTCATTTCGTTCATTTTGTCGTTGTACGAAAATGTTATGTTATAGGCCAGCAAGGGAAATACGCGTTTGTACATACCGTACAGACCTGTGATCTCGAGCAGATGTAAGGGTAAAGTCATCACTAAACAAAGAAATCTGCATAAGTTCATGAAGCAGGAGCTCATTTTGTTGTTTACTGATAGTAGGCCTAGACCGAGCTGTCCAGCAGGCATCTAAAGAGAGGCACCTTAGAAGATCAAAAGATTACTCTCCTAATACCTGTTTGAAATGTCAGTGCTGCACTGTAACCACAAGATGACGCTAATATTCTGCAGTACCTGAGGTGAAAACAAGCCAGGTCCAACTTTCCCGTCAAGATCATCTCTTCGATCATTGCACAGAGAAATAAAACATGCAACAAAATGAAACTCTTTTATCTTATCATGGTCAGCTTTATTACGATAAAGATGTGTTATGTGCTTTTTATTGATACAGTTGTCAAGTTGTAAAATGTACAAATAGGTCATATGCTAGCACAGAGGTTAACAATAGACAATACAGATACTTATTGATCCCGAGGGAAATTCAAAGCATCCAGTAGCAGGTTACAAAGACGTACATGACATGTCCTTGGTTACAAATTAAACCACAAAACCGACGCCCGCCTCCCATACATATATATTAACCAGAAAAAAAGATTTAAAGAATCCCCCTAGATGAATCAAACTTAAACTGTGCAATTAAAAATAGACTTATACAAGAAATGTTATTAAAGAGCCCATATTATGCCCTTTTTGGGGTTCGTATATTTAATCTATGTACCTACTTAAGTATGTATTGCGGCTATATCGGCCTTTTGCAGGTCGTCAAAAAAAAGTTTGCCGCGAGGGACTAAACACGGGAGTGAAGCTGTGACGCGCTGTCGTTATAAATGACTTCCAGATCCAAGATGCTTTAGTCATTTATTCTTCCAAAACAAAACAAGATACTACAAACGCTGTTTTCGGATCATCAAATAAACTAGTGATCGCAGTCCAATGTAGTGTGGCGGTCAACAGAAATTTTCTCTTCCCACGCTCACCCCCTCTCTCCATCCGAGCCAAAAACCAGGTGAACAGGTAAGTGAAATGTCACGCCCCTTTTACCATATTGGGAATGCAGCCACTTTGACTCCGAGGACAGCAAAAACATTAGCGCCTTAGCACTACTGTGCTACCGCAGGCTACGGCATATCGTGGGCGTGCTACAGAAGTTAACGGATGTGCAACATGAGCTGCAGGGCTTGCCACAACGAGCCAATGGCTTAGATCAGTAATCTGGCAAATTTTTTTCAAGGGGGGCTAAAACCGAGCGTTACATGCAGCTAATGCTACAGCTAACAGGAGGACGTAGAAGAAGCCGCGTTTCCACGGACTTTGAATTTTTGCACATAGATGTGCCTAAACATGCACAGGATACATGGAAAACACACTAAAGAGCATATAAAACCAGAAAAAGCATAATATGGGACCTCTAAGTCTAGTCACTAGTCTACACTTAACGTAGATTTTTTTTTAGTAGCAGCCATATTGGATCTGAACTGGGGCTACTTTTTTTTCTTAGAGTTTCCGAGTCGTAATTACGACTTCAGGGGGCGTTAGAGTTGACACTTCCGAATGGGAACTGGGAATTTCCCACTTATGAGATCAACTGGAACAACCCAAAAATAGTAGCCCGAGTTCATATCCAATATGGCTGCTACTATTTTCGGTCAGAAACGTGCATCGAAAGGAATGTTTAAGATGCAACTGTTGAGTTTATTAGCAGCTTAGTCGTCTTTTTGTGTAATTAAATCAATTAAAGTTCTCTCTGTGGAGGTGTTTCATGTTATTTTCGGTCAGAAACTATCACGTAGTGTATTGTTATCATCTGGTATTAGCTAACAAAACAAAGGTACTCCTGGACGCGTCCATGTGGCTTTTCTGACTTGCAACTGGAACGCAGTTATCTCGGGTGTGACTTCATTCCCAGTTCCGACTTCCGAGGTAAATGGAACGCAGCATAAAAGGCGTAATCTCTTATGCTGCCAATCAATCATATCAAAAAAGAGACACACTTATCGCTTGGCAAGCTCACTGTAAAGCTAACCATATAGAATCTATTTGACAGCAAAGCCCATGATGTGCGGTTTGATGATGAAGACGAGCGGTGCTTCCATGTGTCTAAGTTTGAGATCAGAGAATCCAGCTGACTCCAGATACTTCCAAGTCTCACGGGCGACGTCACATCCGTCACCACAGTAGTACCACAAAGGCTGGAGAACATGCTGGAAGAAGTATGCCCAGGTGGAGGGGTCTGCCACAACATGCTCCAAGAAAAAGAAGGCTCCACCCTGCAGAGAAAAGATACAAGATTTGTTGTATGACTCAAGATGTCACTTATTTAAAAAAAAATACAAATCAAGTCAAACCTAAGATTCTGGATGGTGCATGTACGTATTTAAGTGTCTCCATTTATGCTAGAAGGCGGGCCGTGTCATGTTTTCATTAGCCAAACAATTAATAAAACACCAAGAATATGAGTTAATGACAAATCCCCTGGTACCAATTTAAAGATAATAATTCCTAATTTGATGCCACCTTTAGTTAGCGAGGGACTGGGTGTAGTAGGGCTACAGTGTACGAATCACTGAGGCTGCACGCATCTTCTAAAAGCTGTGACACTGTGTGGCAGGTATTGCTGATTACTTCCTGACTCTACGGGAGACTCCATGCTTGTGCCCCACAGGGGGGTCTCATCACCAATCTGGCCAAGATAAGTAAACTATATTTTTTCATGTTGATGTATTGTGTTGTTAGTTTAGTCCTGAGTGATAGACGTTGTGCTGTGCATTGACTGCAGTGTGTTAGTGTGGAGCGTTTCCTAAGGGTGTGTTTATTTTCCTCACTTGCTCTTTTTAAGGGTTGTAGGGTGGCCACCTTGGCCAGGTTAGGTTTATCTCAGTTGGCCCCTTTTATACCAGGGTTTATATATTGTTTTAATGAAAAATATTGTTTATAAAGTCTATATTTCTGTAATGTAAAGTGTGGTGTGAATTGATCTTGCATCTGACACTTTTACAATCTGACTATTATCTACAGCATGCAGCTCATCAAAAAGTCCACTGAAAGAAATTATTAATCGTTAAGTTTGGAAAATCACATAAAATGATGAAAATCTTCATTGAATATCACACAGCCTAAAAAAGTCATCTTAAAACTATTTCCTAACTCACAAGTCCAAAGTCCCATAGATCCTTTTTGAACTTTAATAAATGAAAAAGTCATCATCTTTAAATTGAAGAAGCTAGGACCGGCACATTTTGGACACATTCACTCTAGGAAAATATTTTTGAACAACTAAATCAAACAGTATTAAGTCCATTAATTACTGTCAAAATATATAATATAAAATACGGAAGTAAGAAAGGACTTACTGGTCTCAGCATGCGGTGCACCTCTCGCAGAGTTTGCGGGATGTCGTTGACAGAGCAGAGCACCAGGGTGCAGACAACAACATCTACCGATTCGTCCTCCACTGTCCTCATGTCTTCCCCCGATGCCACAACAAACTTCTCGTATGTGAGCTGGTCGTTCTCAGCCATGCTGGTCTTCAGATATTTCTGAAAGTTGGGGTTTGGATCTGTGCAGACCACCTTGCAACCTGGCGGATAATACTTAAAATTAGTGCCTGTGCCGCAGCCAATCTCTAAAACAGTGAGCTGCTTGCCAGGTTTTTTGAACTCTGAGAGACTGCGAAACAGCTCTGTCTTGCTGTCATCCATTTTCTTGTTGTACGATATAGAAAGTCGATATAGAAAAATCGGGAAGACTCGCTTATATAATTTGAACAAACCGACCGCTTCGATCAGGTGGAGAGGAAAGCATAACACGTTTACCAGCAGAGTGCAGATTCGCATTACAAGAGCCATTCCTGCAAACTTGCACGGCGTCAGCCGATAGCACGACTGGCTGTCAACAACAAACTGTCAAGTTAGCTGACAATTTATTAATTCAAGGAGCTTGGAAAGGACGTCCGGCTATACTTTCAAAATAAAAGCAGACAACAGTTAACGTACATAGAGAAGTAATCTATTACACTGTGTTGACACCATAGACTGTAAAAAGAAAGTTGACACTAGTACATTTTTCGCTTATTACAAGCTGTCATTGCAAATAACCTACTTATTGTTGGCCTACTCATATTATAGGTAGCCCTATTTTTTCATGACTTCATACGCTGTCATCGAAAAAGCCTTTGACACAAAAGCCATTGGACAAAATGGTAAACTTCAAGTGTTGCAGTAGCTAATAGTACAATTGGCGGAATTCAATGTTTTAGGCCAGTTCCTAAATGTATCAGTGGCAAGCGTTATGTGTTATAGCTTAACTAGCCTATATGTCTAAATTTCCCATATAGTCTGTAGTAGTCCTACTTCTTAATCTTCCTTGGGTTGCGCAAAGGCAAAAACACCCAGTTCCAGGTTAGCTCTTTAGCCATTTATTCTGCAAGCACCAACAGCTTCCACTTCGAGGGGGGATTGTCCCCCTTTGTGTCCTAATGTTCGAAAGAAACACTGCGAAAGTGCCCTCTTAGATGCACCTGTGGTATGTAAAATATGAATAAGAGCCCTCAAGTGTACCCTTCCAGTGGACAAATCATGGTGGTGATCCCTCTTAGTGGACAAAACATGCTTAAGCACTCTCCAGGGTGCCCGTCCAGTGGATGAATCATGGAGGGTGCTAGTCCCGTGGACCAAAAGTTGTAATGTGCCCTCCAGTTGACAAAACTATTTAATTGGAAATGTATAACGACTTTTTATGTGCTGGTGCCCAACCACACAAAGCAGGTTCCATTTTTATTATTTTCACCCCTGCCCCTCAAACATCCTGAGTTTGCCACTGGTTTCATATGCCTCCCACGATAAATCCAACACTTTGCTCCCAAAGTGTCCAACCTTTGCATTCAGCAAAGTGAACGCTTTTCTGACTTCATACAGGTTAAAAAATACATACAATAATGACAATTAAAAGAAGCATTGTTATTTACCCAACCTCCCCCTCTCAGCTTGTAGGAAAAAACTATGCTTTCAGTCAAGGAAGTATCACAAACAGTCTCACGGATCATAGGGACATGGCAATGAAGTGACAGCAACATCACCACTTTGGGATCTCAGCGCATGCTGGAAGAACCAGCAAATTAAAAACAATGTCAGTGTTGCCCTTTCATGACAAGTTGACGCAAATAGCCTACAAAGCTCCAGGTGAGATACTGCTAGATGAAATCATGAGGCCCTGGACCAGCTTTTCTGTTTGTGTAATCTCAAAGGTCACTAAAAAGTAAATATAAACATGGAATAGAATTCAATAATTTTACAATGATCACAATCAGCAGTAAGGCTTATTGGTTTAATTGTCAAGTGACTTACTGCATAATAGTAAAGTATATCAAAGGAAAAGGTGTTATCTCAATCAGTCTGGATCAATCTTTTTTGCAAATAAAGACACACTGATGCAGCACAAATTCACTCCCTGGTTTGTGTTCACTAATACAGTTAACCATATAGAATCTATTTGACAGCAAAGCCCATGATGTGCGGTTTGATGATGAAGACGAGCGGTGCTTCCACGTGTCTAAGTTTGAGATCAGAGAATCCAGCTGACTCCAGATACTTCCAAGTCTCACGGACGACGTCACATCCGTCACCACAGTAGTACCACACAGGCTGGAGAACATGCTGGAAGAAGTATGCTCAGGTGGAGGGGTCTGCCACAACAAGGTCAGACCTAGGGTCTTTTTCAAACCAGCCACTACACCCTCTCCCTACCCACGACCATTCCGTCCCAAACCAATTAGCAGGGGGTGATAGTGGGTTGTAAAACCCTCCACCAGTGAGTGTGCACCGATGCCAACTTTCGGATCACGTGCAACGCTTATAGTGTCCGGTCGTCATGGAGGAAGCAATCTAATTTCCGTGCCTACAAACACTACTCCAACTAAGATAGACATTTAATATCGTCATATAGATGTTAACAACTTCAAATGTGTATTGTACTGAGGATCAAATATATGTTTATTTATTGTAAAGTGTTTTATTTTTACAGGGACTGTTTCAAAAACAAAATAATATTAAATCATGTTGCAGACAACTCACTGTTAATATTTATTTCTTATTTTTCTACTTTTGCTGTCTTTGCATTCATTTAGGACACCCTGTTCTATGAAATTACAATAAATTAACTGAACATTAAATTTTAAATTACAATAAACAATGTAGGCTCAATCTAATAGTTTTGTTATAAGTCTACACTAATATATCTTACTAAAGAAGAAGAAGAAGAATCTAGGCTCCATAAAGATGTTTACAGAATGCTTTAGCTGCAAGATGCCGCTGTGAAACCATGGTAACATATAGTTCCTGTTTCCGCCTGAGAGAAGTTTTTCCCAAAGCCTGCAGATATATTTCTACCATTTCTACCCTACACCTTGATGAAAGGGGCTTCACTCAGCTGCGAGTGTGACTTCTAGTGCACTTCGTCACGGAGGGGGAGGGTGTAGGGTGTAGGGTTTGGTTTGAAAAAGGCCCCACCTTGTGGGCAAGAAAGTGTTCCTATGGTTCCTATGGTATCCTACCCTATAGGGAGAAGTCACCGGACTCTGCTTCTCTAGACTGTAAATATAGGGCTGCCACTTAAGTGTTTTAACCTTTAAGTAAAATAATTCAGAAATACGTTCGCCACTTTAAAATGTAACAGTTCCAAAATATTAGTAAGGGCCTACATCGTTTTTCATGTCTTATGACATTTGACACTGAAATGAGTAGACCGTTAGTGGACCATCACAGGCCGTTTCTGATTGGTCAATAGGTGGCAGCATTGAGTAACAGTAGTGTTATTTTTTTATTTAGCCTCCTTTATTAACACATTGCATTTACAATTTATTTCAGACAACACAAGAACATGAATGTAAAGGTAGTAACTGTACAGAGAGGATCATTCATATATTATAAATTGAATTAGCGATATAAGAAAACAAAATTAACAGTACATAAACTATAATATAACAAATAATTGGAGGGGTGGGGGGGCAGATATATCAAAATAAGTCACTGAGCAAGATATATGATGTCTCTAAAATGTTCTTTATCTCCAGTACTTTACAAATTCATTGAATGTCTGGAGTTCAATAAAGAATAAGGATTTGTTTGGAAGAAACTGAAGAAATATGGCTTTATATGATGCTTTCCGAAAAGACACACATTATAATAAGCAATTCAGCTGGAGATATGCTTATTGTGATTCTTAAGTATTTGACAACATTCTTCATTTAAAAATCCTCTACTGACTGGATGTACCCTCATTAATAATGAGATCTGATGCTAGTGAAAATATTTTGAAGGAATCTATAACAATAGGCACTTAAAGCTCATTCTTATGAAACAAACAAGTATCAGCAGACAGCTGGCTAATGGTTCGAGCATCCTCTTCAATTTCAATTCCTTCAACACTTGTACACTTAACAAAGAACAAATAAAGCAGCTCAGCAGCAAATAAAAACAAGAAGGGTGAGACAGAGCACCCATGTGTGCTTCCCCCATGTGAGTTTAGTGAAAATATATTCTAGTTCTCTTTAAGTAATCGGACCTTCATAAAGCTCAGAGTTTTCTTTGCAGAGTTTTTGTTATTAATGGATTTACTTTGTAAAATAACAAAAGCTTGAGGGTCAAAGATGGAACAATACCGTTTCTGATAAAAACCAGATATAAATGGAGAGACATATTTTTGATTCTTACAAAGACTGTCATTGATATACAAAGCAGAGATTTTCCTTGCCTCACCACGTTTCTTCTCAAGATTAAAAAAAGGACACATTTTTCCACCATGTTCCAACTATCTAGCGCCAGATCTTGACTGCACCTTTTGCTTTTGTCACAACGATTTAATTTGTCCCGTAAGCTCACTTTATCTTCTCCACATGGATAGGAAATATTTAGTGTATCATTCAGCTCAGTTCACAAACAAGTCATAACCATGGAAGAAGGTTGTGCATTTTGTCAGTCCAGAGGAAGAGAGAAAGAAGGCTGAGAAAGCCAGGCTTATATGCCATTCCACTCACAGGTAGGTGGGTGGAGTCTCCAAGTAACCAACAAGCAAACCATAAGCGATCACCAGAGGGAGCCAAAACTAAAATGCGGCGACGCCACAGGCGGCCTTCGTCGCCACTAGTTATTTGCCGTCTGCTGACTAGTCACTTTTGTGGGGCAGTCATGTGTGGTAGTCATTGGGAATGCCCCTCATTTTTGGTCAAGGCTCATCTTTTGTATGATGTCAAGTGTCCATGTCCTATGGCAATGGATTTACCTTCAGAAGAGAGGGCCCGGAAGGCTGGGCTTGGGGGAGCATCCTCCCCATGCATACTTCTCCCACGCATGTTAGGGAACGGGGGCGTAACCCAAACGTCAACACGAGCATTCCCACAGTCGTGGTTAAAACAACCCATGAAGACTACCTCTCCAGCCCTTCCTCCTGGGGATGATGTAGGGGTGGAGGACACACAGTTGCAGATTTTGTCCGCTATTCAGGGTCTGTCAGATAGGGTTGCCAGGATTGAGGCTCACTCTCAGAGTAAGGCCCCATCTAAGGCAGATCATTCAATCTTCAGTCTACATCTGTTGATGATGAAACTGAGGAGCCTAGTCCCAGTGATGTGGTTTCTTGGGTTTTGACTGCTTCCAAGATCGTTTGGCTTGCAACCCCATTGGAAATCCCAAGCTCACCAGAAGGGGTCTGGGCAGGTATTTTGCAGTCCCATCCATCAGTTTCTATTCCTGAAGCTGAGGATCACTGCTAGATACTTAAGAGGCTATGGAATACACCTAGTGACTTCCCTCAGGGCCCTGGAGGTAGTGTGATAAGACAGACTGTTTACGCCCTTCAATTCAGATGCTTGTGCAGCTCAAGCAGGAAATGCTTTTGCTTTGCTGTTAGCAGCTATCAGAAAGACTGCTAACATGTGCAAAGAGATGATGCCTTTTCCCCTTACTCCCAACTTAGCCAAGATGTTGGGGCAGCTTTGCTAAGAAAGAAAAGGCCAGTGTCAGAGTCAGACAGGGTCAAATTCATAAATCTGTAATCAAGGTTTTATTGATGCAATGCTGTATTCAAAGTAGTCTAAAGTTCACGGTACTGTATCTGAACTGGAATGTAGCTAAATGACTTAATGTGTAATCAAAAACTGGGTTAACGTGATACTGTGTTGAGAGTACTTAGGCACTGGCTTAACCTGTCAGAAGAAGACTGTAAATGTATTGTCCAGTACCCAAACATGACCATTTTCAACCAGAGTGCAGAAAATATTTTTGCTTTGCTTTGACAGGACAGCTGAAGATAACAGAGATGTGTTGAGAGAGAGTGGGTGGATGACGTTCACCAAACAACGTTGAAACCTGGAATTGAACCTGGACCAGTGCAGGGACTACCATGTGTAAGGGGAACTGCAGCCTTTGATATCTGCTCTACCATCCAAGCTAAACCAGCACTCCTTGACTTTTCCTTAAAGCTGAATACTTATTGGCTTCAAATGTTGCTTTTTCCGTCTCTTTTCCTGTAAGAAAAGATGTTCCGGTGGATTATTGTTTTGTGCTAAAAACACACAAAACAAGGGGGAAGGAGTTAGTCACCTACTGAAAATATTTAAACCTGAGTCTTATTATAGCTGTAAGTGACCAAATAATCTAGTCCTTGACCTTATTCTTTTTAACATCAAGCTCAATAGATTTGTTATGCCTAGTTGACCACACTCTGTAACTTTTAGTGTTGCGAACCATTTGAGTTCCTGAACAACAAAGCTGCAGGTCTTAAAATGTCCACAAGATAGAGACATTGTTGAGTCATTTTCAAAATACTGTGTTAGTTCCCCTAACCTAGTAATATGAACGTTAAAGGCTTTGAAATAAGGGTCACAACACAAGTCCATGTTTGTTCCCACTGCACAAAAGTTGTTCCTGCATTAGACAATATTTAACATTTACAGTAAAACACTGACACTTTTAAAAATGGAAACATATAATGACTCCCTGTTTGGAGAGTAACCCATATCCAATTCTCTATTATGTCTTTTATGTCGCTTATAAGTAAGTAATATTGTTTTTTAAGACATCATCTTGTAAAATGATCTGTATTGATTAAGTCATTAAGATTCACTTGATATAGTTTCAAATACCACTTCCTCCAGAGTGATCAGCGAGAGTAGATTTTCCCTTTTTAGTAAGAAAATAACTATCACATACTACAGGAGCCATAGGAATGCAACAATATAACCAATACATTTGACTAATTTAGAATCATGATCTATTTAAAAAAAGGTTTAACAGAAAATGCTTTGCCTTGCATGCTTTTAAATAATAATTGCATGATTCCATGCAGTTTTGCCCACAAATTTAATTACAATTACAACCGTGGTATTATGCAATATCAGAGATTTTTAGGGGAAATACAAGAGTATGGCTCTTGATGACATCAAATCTCTTGTCAGCAGGAAGTATAACGTGGATCTAGTTACAGAATTACTGAGGTTTACACTTGAATTCAGAGACATTTGAAACTTTGTTCAGAAGGTTTATTGGGGTGGATTTCAGTCATCTAAATATACTGTTTTTCTTTACATTTAGACAATTACAATTTGTACAGCACATATTAGGTAAATTTAATTCAGCTGCTTCAGTTTCAGGGTCCATGTTTGCTTATACCTCAAATTATACACAAGTTCTTGATTAATGTCCGTTTAACCAGGCAGGTGCAATTCAACAAAAATCTAAGAACTGAATTAACTTTTAAATAACATGTAATTTTTAGTCATGCATATAGACCATCATAGCCAACACTAAAGTTCAATTATTTTTTCTGTTGCACAAATAAAGTGCACATTCTTAAGGCATTGTAAGCATGGGTTAAGAGTGAGTGTTGGTTTCCTTTTACATTATATATTACAGGTTACATAAACTCTTATTATTAGCTCAAATGGTCCTAAATGTGTCTTATTATGGTCTTATTAGACATAAATATCAGATTATTTAAATTAATATGTAGGCTAGTTATACACAGGTTTAGGACACATCTATATGAACAAAAAATATTTTGCCAAATGTAATACCAATCCCATCTCGAATATCAATGACTGCTGTTAGCCTACATGAACAGTGTTTTTTCTGCTTACGATGCTGCGGTCTCTTGTCCGTTATTGAAACTAAAGGCATTTACCGACACTCCCTAACAATTTGCTGAGAGTCATCAATTATGCAGGGTAGCCGCACGCACTGGGAAGGAAGATAGCAGCAACAATATGGCGACAGCCGCAGTTACTCTCTTCTCTTTTCTACATCTGCAGTTCAGAAACGGCTGTCTGGATTTCTGTTAATGCGAGAAAAAGTAAGTAGACAATCTGTTTTCTTTTTTGCCATGGATTGTATGTCGTGGGATGGATCGCAGTCCTACTTTGTCGACTGACTGCATCCGACTGCCGCAGAGCGGTCCCTCTCAGCATCTTTTCCGTGCTCTCAATGGAGGGCTCAATGCCAGTACATAATATGTATGCGAGAAAATACTAAGAAGTATGTAGGATGTGATTTTCAGAGAGAAAACATGCAATTTAGGTGTGTTATGACAGAAACCAGTCAGACAGCTTGTTATTTTGGGTGTTGGCCTGCCGCTGGATGGGATGACATTTCAGTGTGTCAGTATGGGAAACATACGCATACGGGATGGGGAAGAAGTTAAATCACGTCAAACTTCTCTGAGTGGTGACAATAACTCGCCGACATGTTCCGAATGCGTGAATAATGCGTCGCTGTCAAAGTATTTAATGTAGAGATTTTTGTCGCTACCATTATTTTGTATAACTATGGTAGTTTTACACCCCCTCACCCGCCCCCATTCTCCACCTCTTCGCCCCCCCCCTCCTCCCTTCCTTCCCCTTGGAGACTGAATTGCGTGAGGAGGAAGGTGCGTCTTTACTTTGGCAGTCCTCAAAGGGGCCGTGGCACCCATTTCTGGTATTTTCTAACAGTATCCCCATAAAAAATCCCTTTGTATGTGGTGACTTTGTAAACCCGCATTATATGGAACCCTTGGATCTTTGCTGCTTTAATGATAATACATTGCTATAGGGGTGTGGTATAGCTTTAAGGCCATTTTAGTTTCTTTTTTTTCCTTTTCTTTTTCGCTGTAAATCATTGAACCCGGTTTATTGTAATAGTATGCATTGTATGGCATTACTGCTTTGCGTTAAGGCTAAGGATTAGTTGTCAGTATACGGCTTGTGCATTCTTTTGACCTAGTAGTTTGTTAGCTTGAGAAGCTAGAGCCCATAGCAGCAATAAACCACACTGCAGTATTTCAGGCTTTGGCCCTATAGCACACCAGCGCCTCGCTATTATTCACTGGACTCTTCTAAGGTTGAATGTCTGTTTGGCCTGCATGATACAAAGTTATTTTTAGCTTTACATGTGTTCACCTCTAAATTGGCCGTATGTCCCATGTTTCATCATTTCCCCATTTTCTCTTCTAACCAAATCATGTTTTAAAGATATGCCATAACTCATCAACATTTCCAGTCACTAAATCACAAGTTTACTGAAATTGACTCATCTCAGACATGAAGTACGTGGCATCCACCCCAATATGATATGCGGGGTTATTTGAGGTCTCTTTAATATTTGCTCTCTCTGAGAGGAGCTGCATTCAAGGGCCTGTAAAGCTCACGTAATATCAGTGATGCTGTGGAGTTGCACAGGACATACAGTTAAAGACAGGCATTCGCCTATTTAGACCACGCTGCAGGAAAAACGGATTTTCGACTCTGATGTAAGTTCCCTAGACTCCATCACCTCCTCACCGCGGTGTCTGCTTAGCTCCATCAGTTGTCAGGGTGCATATGAGCAGAATAGGAAGATTTATCCAGTGACGGGACGGAAGCCGTGGTGCGTTTGGATGCCTTTTCTTCGTCACAGAGGACGCAGCATACAGGAGCATTTCTGCCACACGCTGCTGATCAGAACCGGACAGCGACAAGCAGTTTTTTTTTTTTTTTTTTTTTGCCGAGGGGCAAACGAGGCTGTCTGATGTGTTAGTTTTCTCTGTCATTCTTCAATTTGTTGTTATTTAATTTCCAGATTCACTTGACTCATCGCGGATTTAGGCTAAAAGAAAACGTGGGCGGTTATATGTTTCGCGCTTTTAATGCCGTTTAGCCTACGTGCAAAGGCTTTCTAGAAATTGTTTTAAGCCTGAAGCAGGATAAGCTGTATTTTTTTTTTTTTTTTTTTACCCTACATGTGTTTACGAGCCCACGTTTAAGGTCTTATAAAGTGTGATTTCATTTGACCTACTGAGTTAGTGGACATCGAAAGCATCACCTGCAAAATATCAGGTTATTCCCCTTTGGTCGCCTTTAAGTGTATCTTTTTTAAGGATCTACCCAACGTTATTCGTAAAGTCTACATGTAACCTCCTGCTGGCGATGCTGTTGCACCCTGCTTTGAATCACCTTGACGGTCCAGTTGGTGTAGCATCGGCGGAAGGAGACTTGGAGGTTGTGCCGAGCTTCGGTTACGTGAATCGGACTTAGAACCTCTTCTGGTCGGCTGAGCCTGCTTGTTATTATTGGAGATACTGTCTGAGCTCATTCATTCATTTTCAGGTCTGTAACACTGTCATCAAGTCATGACTGTTGCACACACTGCCTCATTTTTGAGAGCCCGAGTAGACAGTCTATCTAATACAGTGTTATCGAACAGAAAAAGGAATTCATTCGTTTTAGGAGCCTGGAGAGATGCATCTGATAACGTTATTACAGCCCTTCTGTTTAAACAACGAGTCAGAGGTTCAAGAATTAGCAGTAATACTTTATCGGCTAACCTTTTTTTTTTTTAACCACTTTAGCAGTCAATGTCTCTTAATTAGCAGTGTATAAATAATTATTTCCCCTGTCATTGTTTTGTATTCATACAGTAGGATAGCCTACCTTGGAGAGTAGATTGGATGTCACTGTAGGCTAAAACTATGGGCCATCTGACTTCTGTAAAGGTTCAACTTTTTCTCAATCCATGAAAGGAACATGGATGGGTTTGTTGCACAACTAAAAATAACAAATTTACAAGTTAATACGCCTTTAACTCTGCTCAGCATCTTCAACATATGTAGGCTACGGTCGATATTTGGTAAATTCTAATCCAGTAACTCAATCCATACTTTACAGGGTGAATAATTGTTTTTTTTTTAACATATATCAATTGATTTGATTTGTAGATGGCAGAAAGTATCTCAACATCAAAACAAAGTCATAGCAATGACTTGTTGTTTAATAGGTATGCAGCACTTGACTCTTGTCTAACTAACAGCTTTTGGGAGATACTTCTGACTTTCCAATTTGTTGTTTTACTCTCAACCAAAGAGACTTCTGTCCAAGACAGTGAGCTGCAGGAATGTTGAAGGAGACCACCAACATAGTCCCATCACATTTGTTTTTTTGTTGATTAAACATTCCCCGTATACATTTTCATTAGCCATTGTTAGTTACAAAGCGCCTACAAGTAATGCAGGATATTGTGTAATATATTTGTGAAATGGCAGACAGATGAGTTCCTGATCGGATGAAAAGCAAATGACGTGTGATTATATCCACAAGAAGAGACGTGTTTTCGGGCTGTTAGGTTAACAAATTTGAAGAAATCAGTTATGTCTGCAGTATGTTTTTGATACCGGAGTACAGCTTTTGGTGCCACAGGATCAGGGCTAAAGTCATTAAGGCTGATGAACAGATATCATGCTTACTGGCCCATGTTCCAATTGTTTGCACTTTTCCAGCTTTACTTAGCTTTGTTTGCTTTCTGTAGCAGAACTAGGAAATTCCATCTGTGAAGCTTTGTGCAACACTAATGAAGAAAAGGATTGCAAAGCCTCTCGTTAGGCATTAAAACACCCCATCTATTTGATCATCATTTTTTTTGTCACTGGCTTTCATTGGCAAGATTATTATTCTTGAAGAATGATATTTTCCCTTCTTTCTCCATCTTGGTTCACTTATGACTTATCTCTTTGCTTAGCACCTTACATCTTCTCTTGCTCACTTCCTTACCCTGTGTCCCTCTTCTCCTCTCCCAGAGCTGGATGTCTGGGATGGAAAACCAATAAAAAGGCAATAGCTGCAGGATGAAAACATGGCCGCACCCCTTTTTGCACCCCCAGGACCTGACAGCTTCAAGAAATTCACCCCAGAGTCACTCGCTAACATCGAGAAGCGCATCCAAGAAGAGAAGAACAAGAAACCACCCAAGCCAAGGTCGGACAGCAGTCACCGTGACACGTCTGACGAAAATGAGCTCAAGCCCAACAGTGACCTGGAGGCTGGGAAGAGCGTGCCCTTCATCTACGGCGATCCTCCTCCTGGCATGTATGCCATACCGCTGCAGGACTTAGATCCATATTATCAGAACGAGAAAGTGAGTTTGCACACAGGCCCAATACACCCCCCCACCCCCACCCCCACCACACACAATCTATCAGTAACACTTAAATAGGGAAGCATTTTCTCAATGTATTAAAGACACTTATGGAGCAGATTATGAGAACTTTTCTATTTAGACATATTCTTCAATTGTTTGGCCCACAAATGGACAGAATTGTTATTTTTTCCCCATTTGAATATGCCAGCAGTGTAAACATATCAAATGATAAACAAAAGTATTGACAAATTATTATTATTTAGGTTCATATATATATTTTTTAATCCTAACGTACACGGGTGCATGGGAAAGCCTCTTCTTGTTTTTGTTTTAGTTCATCTGTTCAATTAAAGCACAACTGAGTTGCAGTGAAGTAGTCAACACTTCAGGCCTACAAATTGTATTATTTGTGACAAAAGACACTAGTGACACACGCACAACCTAAATGTAAATTGGATTTGATGTATGCAGTTGAGTGGAACAGTCATAGTTTAGCTATTGTTGTGCTTTATGGCTGTTCCTGTTTCATTTAGCATCTGACTAGTTTAGCTTAGCTTGTATTTTAGTTCAGCTTAAAAAGAACTCAAAGAATAACAGCTATGTTCTGAAACTCGACATTATCGCCCTGTGTCTTTCATGCACTAGGTCAATTAACTCATCATCATCGGTACTATAGGCTCTTTATGTTACTGTGCTCTTGTTGTTGTTGTGGTCTGCATCCTGATCTGCAGTGTTGCCATTGTTACTCATATTTCCACATTGTTGTATGATTAATCAATACGACTAAATGCAAGTGATGTTTCATGCACCATTATTGAGATCAATACATTATACATTTATGATTATTTGCTTCTTATACATTACCAGCACACTGACCACATGTCCTCTTTGCATGCTCTGGACTTGTGGCAGTGCATAGATTAACACTGTTATGTTTGTCAGATAATCAGTAACCCCGTTTCTAGATTTGAGCAAAACTGACTGCGTTGATTGTAAGTGCAGAATGGTACAAGTGTGTCACTTGTAACAGGGTTTCCTTCCAAAGAACATAAGTCCAAGATTTGAGTTTTTAGGAATGGAAGCGATGATGTGACCCAGACAACAAAAGGGTAGACCCATCATTAATCTAAAATAAAATAAAAAAGGTCTTTAGATAACAACAGAGGACAGCGTTCATGTCCATGTTGGGATGTGAAAGAAGTTCTAAAAGTGTATTTTTCTCCCTTTTTGAGACATTATTCCATTGTTTACTTGAATTTTTTAAAGTGGCAGCCATTTTCATCTGACATCTCGCTCAGGGTGGGAAGCTCAGGTGGTGATTATAATGGCATACTCCTTGCTTCAGGTTGTAAGTCCTTTAAATGAAAGTAATTTATGACCAATAGCAAAAAAAGAAATGAACAGCCTAGTGAAAGTCAGAAGGGACATTTTGACCATGTTTTAAATTTAAACAACATTTGATAACCCATGATCTACCAGCAGACAACAGTTAATGTTCGAATTCAAACCCTTTTCAGCTATTCAGTGGCTAAAGGCTAACATTGACTAATATTAACTTTTAAGGTTCTTAGGAGGTAATACAAAATACAGATATGAAAACATGAAATAAACTTAAATCTGTTTAAATAACTTATTTAAAAACCAGTTGATTTCATTGGAGACGCAGCTAAAGTAAGCATTTAACCACTTCCAAGCTAACATTACCAATGGTAAATTACATCTTTCCTAGCATTTGAGGTGAGTACAAGTCCCAATAGGGGCACCTTACCCTGGTTTTACTTTACCCGTCCTCTTTCTAAGATCTCTCTTCTACCTCATTTTTGTTTTCTCTTGTGATCTCTCTCTGTGTAATGTTGGAAACAGGAATAGTTGCATTTCATTTATAGGGGCCATTTGGGTCTGCATCTTCCCATTCACTACCTAGAGCTTGCATGCACTGAGCCTGGGTCTGTTGAAGGTGACAATGCTGTTGGGTTGTGATGGCATTGTGCTGAAGTAGGTTAAGATATAGATGTTCTGTGTGTGGGTATGGTGGGGGGTTGAGAGCTAGCATGGAGAGGAGTGGTGGCTCTGGGAGCTCACTGTCAGGCCTTCCTGAGGTGTCATGCGACTAATCGGACAAAAAACTTGTGAAGGGAGTTTCCCACTCGACAACCCCGGTGATGTCCTGGCTCTTTCTGCCCATTAGTCTGCACGTTTGAGTTTTGGGGGCCAGATGGGGTCATGTGGTAGGATAGGTAGTTTCGGCACTGTCACTACCTATATCAAGCGACAATAAATGGGTCCTGGGTCCATTGAAGGTGTTAATGCTGTTTTAATTGCGGTGGCGACTAAGGGCCATAAGGTAGTTTATGTAACTTATCAGCAGGGCATAATTGGAATGAGGGGCATCTTCACTGAGTGCTTATCCTTGCATTAGGGCACAAGAACCTTGTGTGTATTTAAAAGAAAAAAGTAAGGGAGAAAATTATGACTAGAAATGAAGAAAAAGCGATATGTACAAACACACCCATAGATCACTGTATTATATATCATTGTTGAAGGTCAACTAGCTATCATTCAAGATCATGTTGAAAACCAAATCGTTTTTGCACCTATCTTTGTTGTAATTAATGTAAAGCAGGTGCAGATGGCACAATCCCTCCTATTTTACTCTCTTAATGATATTCCATTTTATTATTTGGAGAGTTCAAGGTATTTTAGACTTTTGTCCCACATCACTTTAGCTCTAGCTGGGCTGTGGCCTGACTGTGGCTTTTCATAAGCAAAATAGGAACGAGTTAAGGCAGAAGATGGCAGGAGAGCACAGGAAGTGGAGAGAAAAGGGCAGGAGCGTGTTGTTAAACCTTCAGCTGTGCAGACATGTGGAGCAGCCAGTCTCCTGTGTGGTGGCAGTGGTGATATAATGTGAAAGAGAATCTGAGGCCTGTGCAGCAGCAAGAAGCCCAGTCAGCAGGACGTGCATTCTCAGGCAACAGCACTTCCTCATAGGGCAGATGAAACTATCAAGTGTATGTGCCTTTTATGATCTATTGATCCACGATCCTAGTTCAGTGGTGGCCACAGGAAAGAATGCATCCCTGTCTCATTATCTGTCCCGGCTTTGCTAATTGAACAGTGGGACTTTATCTACATCTCCATACTTTCCTCTGTGATTATAGAGCATTTGCAACATAGTTGTTTTTGGCCACATACATTTTAGCCATTTATGTATGTGGATGGTAGTTTGGAGCGGAACAGCCAAACAGCTCAGTCTCATTGTGCAAAAATAATACAATGAAACCAGGTGAATAAAAAACAGAGTGAACGATGTTTGAGAGTCACAAAGTTTCGAACTCTTTAGTGCAATATATTTATTTTGAAGTTGTTCTTTTTAATTACAGTTAGTGAAAGAGAACAGTACTAAAACATTCTAAATGATGTGAAAATGATAGAAATGTTCATATGTTCTAAATGCTAATTTCCATCACACCCATATCATTTGGAAGACAGTAATACGGTCTTCAAACAATGTCTAGTTTCTTTTCTCACTGTGGCCTCTATGATGAATACTTTGATGCCCACATTATCTCCATGAAGGCAGAATTAATACTTCAAAGCCTATATTAGATTATGAATTAATTGATGTTAGAATACTTTAAAAAGAAGGTTAAACGAGCTAATGGCTGAATTTGTATATTTAGATTTCAAATGTAAAAAATGTAAAACCTGAACTCAAAATTGGTTAAACAAACATGTTGCGTTTGGTTTTGAAATAGTAATTATATTGTACAAAAGTCCTGTCATTGGATTCATGCTGTACCATCCAGTTCTCTTAACACATTTAAATAGATTCTAGTTCTTCATTTCTCCTCAAGCTGTTCCTGATAACAGTTTTGATTTATTGCATGTACATCATTGTCAGTTTTGCGCTCTGCATAACTGAGAAAATTAAAATCATTAGCAAAATATTTTTTGCCGAGAATTGGTTGCCCATCTTAGAGTTTCAAAGGTCCAATATGTAAGATATCTTCTTAATTAAATCATAAAATGACCTGACTATATCACCAGACATTAAGGAAACATGCTATGTTGAAGTGCTGGATTCTCTTGTCAACAGAGCAGCAGCCAGTTTGTCCTTCTAAGTAATTAGAATTAGATTCCGCTGCGAGAGAATGTAGGCGATTTTTAGACGGCTCTAGGTTTTTCAGGCAAACCAACGGGTGTTGCAGGGATGAAAGCGGGCAAGCCAACTGGTTCAGATATAACTGATTTTACCTGACCTTAAAAGCCTCTGCATTTTCTAATAAGCTCCACTACAAGAAACGTGGTAAAACCAGGGTAAATATTGGATATACTTGAATATAGACCGAAGCAGAGCTGGTTTAATACAGAACTTCAGTCCGCGACATAGCAACCAGTCGTTTTCGACTCTATGGAGGAGGGGGCGGGGGGGATACAGTTCTCTTCAATGTTTAGAATTTTGACTGCAGTACCAATTGAAAATGCTAGGTGTCAGAGTTACAATTGCTTGTGTAAGAGTATTCAATTTGCTAAAATCTAAAGATTTGTACGATAATGGGTAAATGCTGGTTTCTGCCAGCATGCATATGTAATTGGGGTAAATTTGAGATCTGTTGTATGTAAGTATGAAAACTGACTTTCCTTGCATTTGACCTTTACCATTATTGGTATTATGAAATTGTGTTAATGTTTTAAAAGATACCTGTATAGCGTATGAGCATAGACCACATATGATTCTCATCACAGACTCTATATTGCACTTGTAATTGTTGAATAGTTCTGGTGCTGCAGTTGGTTATGTATTCATGTCTGTGTGGACATGTGTTTTTAAAGAAATATAAAAGGACCCTATGCTTTTAGACTGTCTGAAATATCTCATCTCACTGTTAGGCTATAGCAAGTGCTCCCTATATGTGTTGCATATGTCATAGTGTGGGACCTCCCTTCATTCTGCCTAGTCAAGATCTGCTTACTCCATCATAACCATTCATATG